CAGATGGCCCCTTCGGATCAGATCCTCAATTGCTGTTTGTAGGGCCCTGCAGGCATTGGTGGCATGACCCTTTCTGTTGTGATATTTACAGAAAGCATTGTCATCCGTTCCCATGAACTGTCCAGAATCAGTCGGGATGGGAATATTGTCCCTCTCGTGCTGATAGATGGTCGCTATTGATAGGACCAGGGGTGTAAATCTCCCTTGTTTGGGAGGTAAAGCGGCCGCTGGGCTAGGACCCAGCCGATCGGCCATTTTGATAGGGGCAGCAAGCGTAATGACCTTATCCCTGATCATTATCTCCTCTTCTAGGGCGGCATGCTTGCGGGCCCTATCTAATACATCGGCGTACACCGTACCCGGATTTTTCTTCAATTCTTTGTACAACTCCCCTGTTCGGAGAGCATTCGTGAACAAGGTAATGGCGGTATCATCTGTCATGCTTCCCACTGTTAAAGTCTCATCCCTCCACCTTTTTAGGAACTGGTTGAGGGTCTATTTGGCGTTTTGCTTCACGCTGGTTAAATAGCTGAAGTGCCGTTTGGGATTGGCACTGGAAGCAAACTGAGCCAAGAATAACGCTGATAACTAGGCAAAGCTGTTGATTGACCCGGGTTGCAGTGTCCTGAACCATTCCTGGGCAGGCCCCCTGAGTGTGCTGAAAAACAACCGGCAAATGGCGGCCTCGGGTGCTCCTAGCAGCATAAGTCCCCCTTGGTAACTCCTCAGATGTACGTGGGGATCTCCCACCCCATCGTAAATTTGGCCGGTCGGGGGCTTGGCACCCCCTTGGATATCCACGTACATGAGCTCCCTAGTAAACGGGGAAGTAATTCCCAGCTGAACTGGTGCAGGTTGTACAGGTACCCTGTTCATCTGGTCCCGCATTTCATTCATTTGCCTCCTCATCTCGGCCATCTCTTCCTCCTGGGCCGTCAAAGGGGGCGGTGGTGGAACCCTCATATCCGTACAGTCCCGGTCCCAATGCCGCTGAGAGGCCCTAGTATTTTCCCGCTCGGCATACTGGAAATGATGACCGACGGGAGTTGGTCCTCTAGCTTGTGACCCGACCGGGGTTCGGTCACTGGAACTGGGATGCGCTGCTGGTGGGGCGCTATGTCGATTATCCCGATGGGCATGCGAACGGGATGACGTTGTGGTTGTTTCCGCGCGTGGAGTTTCTCCTGTAAAGTTGGAACCTCCTTCCTCTTCGTTCGCCATATGCTGCATGAATTGGGCCATGTCACGCATGGCCTGAGGATTTCTTCTCAGAGATTCGGGAATCACAAAATCCCCATTAAAACGAGGATACGATCCTCGACTGGATTGTCCCTGGGGGTTTTGACTCCCCGGGGTGTGACTCCTCCCGTGACGGTGTGAACCGTCGTTTGTATGATAGGAACTGATTCTGACCATTTTTGAAAAATAGAGGTTTTTTGGATGTTTAGAAAGTGAAACTTTTTGCAAGTTTCCCACAGACGGCGCCAATGTTGAGGGTAAATCCCGTAGATCCGAAAGCCCAACACGAACTTTGGATATATCAGGAATGGCCCAGAATCAAAGCGTATAAGAAAATATAAGATCTGAACTAACTAAAACTCGAAAGCTCACTTGTATTAATTAATCAATCTGATTACAAGGAAATTCACGATCGGTATGTCGGAAATTATGCTTTAATACAAGAAGTAAGGGCAAATGATGCTATTCTAGAGCTTGAGTGTTGAAATGCTAACCCTTACAATGACTTGAAACCTTCTATTTATACTAATGGAGAGCATGGGCTGCCTCTTGCTGATTGGCCGTTGTTCCACCGACTTGGTCATCCATGCTTCCACTTGCTGATGTCATAGTCTGGCATTAATTGCACCTGGTCACTTGCTGGTTGGCTGTTGCTCGAACGGGATGTTGGGCTGCACTGAAGATGCTGTCAAATTGGCCCAAGTATGATATATAGCCCGAACCTCGTTCGGTATGTCTTCTTACTGGGCCAATCTTTATTTGAGCCGAACTCTGTTCGGTATGTCTTCTTACTGGATCTATTCATCATAGAGTGATGGGCCTGTTGCTTGGGCCGGATATCTTGGGCCTTCCCGATCTGGGTATTGGGCCTCTAGGTCAATATCCCAACAAATTGCTTACCCCAAAATGCTATTCTTTTTCAACAAGAAACACTACAATTGGCAGCGTTTCGCCTCCCACCCGTTAGAATACAAACACCCCTATGTAAGGTCAATGTAAACTCATATATAATTTGCACTACTAAAAATAAATATAAATATATAATACATTCTAAACTCTAACATTCTATTTTGAGTTCGTATACCATACGACCGTCCCACCATGAGCATCGTACACCCACTCCCAAAACGATGTAATTTTGGACAAATTTTAAAAGAACGTGTGAACAGTACATCCGTGTACAGTGACTTTTTTGTTCCAGTAACATAGATGGTGTAACTCGCGTGTAAAGATATGTAACTCGCATAATTGATCAATATAACTCAAGCACATCCGAAATGTAACTTGTCAAATATTGATTTCAATGTAAACAATGAAAAAAGAGAGTCTAATTGCACAATTATTTTAGGTTAAACGTGAATATGTTTTCTTTTTCATATCATGGCTATAAATATAATTTTTTAGAAAAGATCGTTTTTTTTGTTTCAATAGGAGGGGTTGATTTTTTAATGTAACTCCTGTTATTACAAATGTAACTTGCGTTGATGCCAAATGTAACGTGGGTGTATACAGAATGTAACTTGTGGGAAAATTGAACAATGAATTTTTTTTGTGTGTTTGAGATATTATAAACATTGATTTCAATGTAAACAATGAAAAATTGATCCTAATAGTTTAATTACTTTTTATAAATAGTGAATATGTTTTATTTTTAATATTAGGGCAATAAAAATGATATAGCTGAAGTTTATTCAGTGGTGTAACTCGCATACATTAAGATGTAACTCGCATATTTTTAGATGTAACTCGCGTACATTAATATGTAACTTGCGTAGAAGAAAATGCAACTTCATATAATATCAAATGTAAACAATGAAAATAAGAAGTTTAATTGTTCAGCTAATTTAAATTAAATATGTTTTAAAGAAAAATCATTTTTCCATATGGTATGTTTATTTTATTTGACCAATAAATGTGTTTATGTTATTTTTTTATGGATAAAATTTTGTTCCTTCTCAATGTAAAGACAAATCCGCATGTGGACATGTATCATATTATGGCAGATCCCATACTGACTATATGACAATTGGGTGGGGAGGAGGTAGTCTTTGGTTCTTTGCGTGGGGGATTGAAAAGGAGAAAAAAAACGAAGCAGAAGCACCCGGCAGCAGTGACGGGGAAGTAAGAAGACTCGCAGCTGATCAAAGGATTGGAGAGGAGGATTTCAGATTGATTTTAATTAGCAAAAAGGTACGGTACCAGACCCGACATACCATGCGCATGGTCAGGGGCGGATCCTTGTGTGGGCAGGGGTGGGCTCCAGCCCAGCCCAATTTTTTATTTTTTATTTAGTATATGCATAAATTTAATGTCCAGCCCATCCCAAAATTAACTTCTAGCACACCCCAAAATTAATTCCCAGTCCAATCCAATCCTATTATCAACTATTCCACTTAACTACTTCAAGCTAACCTGCGGCCAGAAGTTCGGAGCTGCGACGGAGCTGCGAAGCATGAACGTGAAAGAGGGAGTAGCGGAGCTGCGACGGAGACACCAAAGACGAACACCATCCGATCTCTGGTCAACTGCTGAGCCGCCGCCCGCCGTCCACGCGTCCAGGGCCCTGTCTTGGCCGTCTTCCCTCTCCGGCTCTCCGAGTCCGACTCGCTTTGCCTCTATCTCCATGTATACTCTAAATTCAAATACTCTTTTACACTATTTTTCTTGACTAAACTTGTATTATTTGTTAAACATTGCATTATTTGTTAAGCATTGTATTATTTTGTGAAACATTGTTAATCTATTTGAATATTTGATGAACCGAGGACCTTGAGCGATTGTGTCATTGTGTTTTATATGTGAAACATTGTATTATTTTGTGACTGTGTTATTATGTATTTTTTTAGTTTTGTAAATCTATTTGATTCTCAATTGAATTTTTCAGTACATAATGAAATAGTGTTTATTCATTATAAATTTATAATGGTTAATGATAATTTTTTTTTTCCAAAAAATGATTAAAGATAAAATTAAAGATTAGTGAATGATTTATTTATTATACAATTGAAGATTAGAGAATAATTTATTTATTGTGTGGACATGTAAGAAATAGTTAAAAATTTCAATTGAAATTTGAAATGCTAGAATCTTTAATAATCATTAATAAATTTATAAAATTGCACTAAAAATGTTTAAATTTTAAGTTATATACGATTTAATTTATTCCTATGATTTATAAGTTAACGATAGGTTGAGCCCGGCCGGATTGAACCGAACATCACTAAACTCAAACTCGACTTGAATAACTATTCGAACAGAAAATCTAGCCGTTTTCGACTTCAAAGATTGTTATGCTTGAGTTATTAAATTAAATTTGAAATCACGTTCAAACTCGAATAGTTCAAAAAAAAGCTTAGTTCGATAACAACCATAAATTAAACATTTTGTGTGCAGTAACAACTTTTTTACTGCTTAGCCCACCCCACATCCTGTTCCTGGATCCGCTCATCCGCCCCTGCACATGGTATGCCGGTCGTACGGTATAATTTGTCTTCTATATTTCAGTAATCTAGTCATTATTTCTAATTGATTTATAATCCATACGTTTCTTACGCTAGATTTCGAACTATTTCTTGCAAAACACCTATTGAATTTCATCTTTGAAAAAAATCCAGCAAAAAAAAAGAAAGAAATGCGATCCTACCTTTAGGGCCGGTCCAAGGGAGGGGCAAGCAGTTCCATTGCACAGGGGCTCAAAAAATTGAAGGCCCAAAAAAATAAAAATTTAGTCCTGTTAGTAGCATTAAGCGATTAAGCGACAAAGCGTACAAGCCTTCGGCAATTGAAGACTTCTTCAGGGCCACCAGGAGCGTTCAAGCGTTCGTCCACAATTAGCAACGGCTGCAAGCAAGTCTGCAACGCCGACCTCTCCATGGCCCAGGTGACCAGACGACCACCGTCTAGGGACTAGGTCCGCCACCCGCCACCCGCCACCGCAGTACTGCAGCACGCCAGTCGCCCGAACCGCAGTCCGCACCAGCCACCAGTGCAGCAAGTGTCTACCGTCTACGGCCTCTGCTCACTGCCTCTGAAGCTGTGAAGCAGGTAAGCTTATCTATTTTAATTTTAAAATGTAGTATATTATTAATTTTTTTAATTTGTTTGGAGTACTATTTATTACTCCCTCCCTCCCTTAAAACTCTTAAAACTTTGACATCCTTAAAAAAAGGTCAAAAAGGGAATACACTTTCCCTTTAACCTCAACCACACGATTTTTACTTATTTTTACTTTATTGTTCTCCGTGTCGGTCAACTTTTTCAAAGTTTTAAGGGAAGGAGGTAGTAATATTTTTCATTAGTATGTGATATTGTAATTGAGTTGATGATTTTAATAACTTATTAGGGCCATTAGGGCTTAGGCCTACTAATCTATGATGAATTTAACAAATTAGGTTGTGACTGTATTTTTTATTTTGTGTAATTAATTGATGGATTGATTAAACTATTTAGATTTGATAAATTGGTATAAGTATGTTATTACTTATTACTTTTTTGATTATCGGTTTAAAGTTGTTAAATCAATTAAATTAATTTTTAACTTAAATTTGTAAACATGTACAAGATTATCATCATTGCTTATGTTCTATTCTACTTTGGAAAGGAAGGCCTAATTGTTTTTCGTTGCACATGTCTCTATTTTATCAGGACCGGCCCTCCTATAATATTTGAATATTGTAATTATTCAATATTTATTTAATCATATATACGGTATATATATACTATGTATAATATATAATATAATTATGAAAGATATAATTATGAAACAAAAAATAATGATATATTCAAATATGAATATATTCAAATCGGATATTCGAATATTTGAACCAATCAAATGTGAATGTGTTTTTAAATTCAAATTTTAGTTGAATACAAATTCAAATGGAATGGAAAGTTGTCAAATTGAGATATTTGTTCCTTTACAAACCTAGTTGGAGGTAGGGGTGATTCGGTATTGCATGCCAAATATTTTTTCTCATAGCTTTACCGTACCGAAACTTTCGGTATACCAAAATTACATACCGTTACCTCACTAAAATTTCGGTATACCATGTTTTGGTATACTGAACTTTCGGTATCAGTTAGTTACCATGCATGTCTCTTAATACAAAATCGGTGTTACTATCGACATACTTAATCCATTATTCAAATATTGAAACATATAAATAATAACCTACTCATGTCCTATTCAATATTATTAGTATATTTAAGCAAATAAACGTTCCACATATTAAAAATAACACATTCTCTTAAAAGTAACTTAAACAATATAGATACTATTTAATCAATAGTGGTCTCTAACTAGAAAGAAGAATTAATCAAACAACATGTATATTAAATCTTTTATCCCTAAGATAATGTTGTGTAACTAGTCATTTTTTATACTTTTAAAGAATTTATTTGAATAAAACTTTCAGTATAACGGTATATCGGTATACCTTTTATCTTCAAAATATATACCGATTCCATACTGAAGTAATTCGGTACGGCACCATACCGTACCGGAAATGTCGATATACCTAAATTTTTGATAAATTTGGTATTTTTCGATATGGTAAATGTGGTATACCGAAATTTAGTATTTTCCCCTAATATGTAAATTCTAGGACTTGCCGTAAGGGTTCTTTATAAATTGCAAGGCAGAACGCATAAACCCTGAATTCGACAATGGAGTCATTGCCGGGGATTAAAGAGTCAAACTTTAACGAAGTCGGCGAACAAACATTGCATGACTTGAAGTTGGTGCCATGGTTAAACTGGGAAGAGTGGAGTATCATTGCAGATTCCCTTTTCTCTTCTACTCCGCTTTCTGTCTATTCTGCTCTTCTAAGGGTAAGGGAGTTTTTTAGCATTCTTTCCATTCTTTTTACTTTATTTGATAAAACGATTAGCTGTACTACTGAGTAATTTTGATAAATATGGATTTGAATTTGTAGATTTCGACTTGGAGGAACAGAGGGTGCATTCCGGTAGCCATTGATGTTACAGCTTCTATCATCGAAATTCAGCAAAAAGATCCATTTTTCAGGTTATCCATGATGAACAATGATGAAGTGTGATTACAAATAGGTATCCATTATTAGTTACTAGTTTTTGTTGATTGTAGAGATAATGTACCTAAAGGTGCTCAGCTGTCAGAAGAAATTCTGACTATGCTATATTCTATGGCAATAACCAGGTATTTGTTTGTGATTTTTACCTTGACAAAAATTTCACATCTTATTTCCCTCAAGCATTAAGTGTTGTTTTCCCCTTTTTATCATCATATAAATATATAATGACAAAAGTCACACCTTTAAGATAGTCCAGATGTAAACTTGTGATCCCCTAGTTTTGAAATCTTTTGTTTTTCTTTATCTACCGAAGAAAACCAATAAAATCTTAAATTTTCAACATATCGGTTGTCCATCACTCAATCACTGGGATTTCATTAAAATTTGAATTTTTGAAACTTTAACAAACTGAAATACTTAGCTGGAGTTATTGTAAGTTGTAACTTTCTTTTTGTGCTGCAATGCTTATATTGGTTAATGACATGACTACTTTCAATTTTGGGGTTCCCTTTAGGCAAGAAACTTGAGTTTGTGCTTCATGGTATTATGTTTTTTGCGTTCCATCTAATATAATGATATATTGGTCTCAGAACTTTGATGTGTATCAATTACTGTATTAAATATGGTGTTATCATTCAAGGTTTGTAAATGGAGTTATTGAGAAGAATCGCAAGAAAAATGAGATTTCGATAGCTGAGGCAGCTGATGCAATTGGCATCCCCCGTATGGTGATTGATGTTCGACATGGTCTGTTTACACTAATCCAATGTGCTAGTGTACACTTTTACATTTCGTTTCCTAATTAATTTATGAGACGAGCAATATTTGGACTTTGTACATTTTCCCACTTTCTTCCTGGTTTTTATCTTACGTGTGTTAAGTTTGCTTCTTTGACTACACCATAAACTTACAGAGGGTTCTCATCGTGATCTTCCTTCACTTAAATTGGCTCGCCTTGCCTCAACAAAGGTATTCTTAATTCCCATGTCAACCATTTATTCGTTCCTTGCTCATCAATCAATTGATTCACCATTTATTAGTCATCTCTAATATCTACAAGCATGCTGTTTAGGTGTTTGACCAATGTTGTTTAGCATTCTTGCATTGAATCGATTTGGGATAAGAATGTAATATCATATGCACTTTGTGAACCATCATACCTTATTTTGTTCTAGTTTTGAGCTAGATATAGGTAACTCCTATGTTATCACCAATAGAGTTAATATTGTTATATCTAGAGCAATACAGTTCCACGAAGCAGATTATTATCTAAGTAGCACAGGGACAAAAACGGAAATATAAGTGGGGAGTGACGGCGACAAAAATCGGGACGGAGAGAGAATGACACGGAAACTCCAATTTCAAAATATCAAGACATGGGTACGGCATGGAAACGTCAAACTAAAAATAATTTTTTTTACTTGTAAAAGCAAATAACCATTATATGAGAGCATGTTTGCGTAAAAAATGAAATAGATAAGCCATACATCCACCATTGTTATGATCCATTCTACAGGCATAATAAGTAAAATAACAAAAGTAAATATTTTGTTCAGTGATAAACACACAGTTCGATTGCGGCTAATCTAGAAATAAATTAGCAAACTTCATATAGCACATCTCCTCAATTGCCAAATTCATCACCTATTCACCTCCAACATTCCGCATCTTGGTGTTCTCATCAACGTGTTGTTGTGGATAAACACCAAGTCCTTTGCAACTTTAGGACTTAACTTGTTATGCCTAAGTGAATTAATAAATGAGTAAGTGCTCCAATTACGTTCACATGAAGATGATGAGGTAGGTTAGACAAGAACTCTAAAAGCATGTGATTGAAGGATCGGTGTTTGAGCACCAAAGTTAGCCAATCAATTTTTAAGATCCGTATTTCTCCTCTTTGAAAGAGATGTAGGCATGTAGTATTTTCGAAAGAACATGTCTTAAGCAAAGAAGAAGCAAATTCATCCAAAACCATATTATAATCACCACCACTTGGAAAGAGACTTTCAACAAATTTAAATTGATCGCCACAGAAGTGGGAGAGAAGGTAAGTGATGTCGTATTATCTACTAAGTTCTCGAATGCAGTGAAAGAATGCATAAGAGTTTCACAACTCTCGAACAGTCCATTTATCTTACATAAGTGTGCACCCATATTCCTTCCAAGCAACCTCGTGTTTCTCTCTCAATTTCTCATTCTCATTCTTCACTTTTTCGAGAAGTGGGACACACAACCATGGTTTAAAAAGGCGCTTATGAGGCGGGTTCTGAGGCGCGCCTCAAGCTGAGGCGTACTGGTTGGGTATCAAGGCGTAGGTTTTTTTCGCAGGTAAAGAGGCTTACGCCTCATAGATTGAGGCGCACGCCTTGAGGCGTGCCTTGAGGCGTTTGTTGAGACGCACGCCTTGAACACTTGCGCAGTGACTTAAAACAGGCCCAAGTATTTCATTTAATAAAAAGCCCAGCGTTCTTTCTAAATAGAAGCCCATATACTAAACCCTAACAAGTCTTATTTCATTCAAATCCTTATCAGGATTTGAAGGATTTGAACCTTAACGTATACTTTCTATTCACCTACGCAAAGAAATCTCTCTTCTCCTGCGACATCTCTTTACAACAGCCCAAAAGCTTCCAGGTAACTTTTCTTTCTCCATCCCCTTCTCTTTCTCCTATTCTTATTCAACTCATCTCCTTCATTTCTTCTCCTTCACTGCTTTTTATCCTTCTTTTACAGAACTGTTCTTCTTCTCCTTCACTGCTTCTTATCCTTCTTTTACAAAACTGTTGTTCATGTTTTCTAACCGGTAAAGGATTTACTTTGCGTCCTTAGTCATGTCATTAATAATACTTCTGTGTAGATTTAGTTTAATGGTGAGAGGTTCAAAGAAAAGATGTCATGCTTCTACCGCTACACCTAGTAGTTCTGAAGGCCTTGGTGATGAAATTTGTGTGGGTTGTTTCTGTGTGTTTGTGAGACTGTGATGTGTCTGTTTTTGTGAGATGTTTCTTTTTGTGTGTTTGAAGCCTAGTGGCTTACTGGTAATAGGTCACTCGTATTTGTGTCTCACACTTTTTGGACTTATAATTATGGATATCCTTTACTTCTTGAGTTGTTTGTTACTAGTTTAATTATATCAAGTTTTATATGTCTGTATTTTTTGAGGCTTACGCCTCAATACGCCTCAAGGCTTACGCCTCGCCTCTTAGGAACAAACCGCCTTGAAACCCGAACCCGCCTTTTTAAACCTTGCACACAACTCATGATAACTAGGAGGTTTAGTCCCGTTCCAAGTTGTCCAACTGACTCCACCATAATCTCATAAAACCTGGAGTTTGCTGCATTGAAAGGAATGCCGTTTTCATAAAAAATCAGCAATGTGCATAAAGACCCTATTTTTTTCCTCTTTTCTCTGTGTACAATGTTCTAGCCTACTTGGCGTGGGGCTTTTCACATGTCTTCCATCAACTTCCTCAAAATTTTTACGAATGATAGAAAGCAATTGACTTGTTTTGCTTTGGCATTTTTGGTGGAGCACAAAGAATTGTGAATCTCATTTTTTCTTTTGGTAGCTGTCACAGAACTTAGTTGGGAAGTGGAACTCGTAGACGGCTCTATTTGGGTCAAGGTTACTTCTTCAACATCGTCGTCATCCTCAACATGGACCAGTTTACTCGTTGATTTCTTCGTTAAATATGTTCACATCTCCTTCATAAGCTTTGTTGTCGTATGAGAGCATACAACAACATCTACATACCTGCCAACTAAATGTTGCTTCAATTTCTTTATGCCAGAGCGCATCTACAGTGCTCACATTCGACTATGTCTTTGTTGTTCAAGTTTGGTCGAAAACCATGTTTCCATCTCAGGTCATTAGATTTTGCTCACCTACTGGGATATTTAGATTGATTATACTGTTTCACGGTCATTCCTCTCCACAACTATTATGTATAAAAACAACTGAAAAAAATAATATTATGATGAAAATTAGATCTTCAGACAAGTGATAAAAAAACTAGTAATAAATCTATATAAATTGTATAACAATAAATATGACTGTACTTCACAAATAATTAAGCTATTTAAAGTACGTATATACATAATCTCACATATAATACTACGTAGTTGTGACTAATAAATTAATTGTTAATATTGTATTTGTTGAACACGTAAATGAAATATGAATATACAATAATATTGTTTATGTTGTACAACATATACTATATCAAACTAAGTGTGTGGCTGTTTGCAGGGGTTCACACACACATATATTTGAATGTCTACGGAATATAATACTACATCCGTCCCGGTGGACTTTGCCAAGTTCAAAGTAGGTGAGAAATAAGAATAATAAAAATTGTGTGGTTGAGATTTGTGTAGAATCACAAATTAGTTGGTTTAATAGGAAAGTGTCAAGGTTTTTTGGAATGACCAAAAAAGGAAAGTTTGCAAAATCCAATGGGATGGAGGGAGTATACAGTTATATACGGAGTAGAAGGAACCTCTATTAGAACTTAGAAGAAAACTCAAATACTCAATTAACTAAAACATACCGAATAGAAGAGATCGGGACCTGGGAACAACCAAAGGAGTTCTATTAGAGAGTGGACGGTGTGGAGTTCATTAGTTAGTCTACTTCCTTTAATCGGAGTTGAAATTGGTCTTTGAGTTTTGAAGAAGTTAGATGATGGAGTCTTACGATACTTATGAATTGCCAAGTGAGAGCGTAAAATTAGGGCTTTGTTTTTAGTAATACTCTTAAAGCCCTGTTTCCAAATTTTGTTTTTAAAATCACCTAGGCCTGCGGTTAGCTTTCTAAAAACCAAATCCGGTGATGCCTTATCACCAATTAGACGATGTTTGGGTTGCTTATTTTTCTTCCAGTGAGGCGATGAAACACGGCGAACTCTCTTGAGAGCCACGATGCTTAGGCGATGCCATAACATGTTTGCTGACTGTTGGAGTATTGACGTGCACTTGTCGTGAGGTGCACTCAAAATAATTTCATCAATACAACACTAATACGTAGTATAGTGAAGTAAGGTTCGTATCCACAGGGAAATGAATACTTTTCTTTTATATAAATAGTAACAAAGGGGGTTTTAAGTTTGATTTGATTGAATTTAATTAACACTAAGATAAACGACTTATATGAGTTTAATTTATAGAGATGAGGACTTGATTTTGCTTTTATCCTCTTAATGAAATGTTCGTCGATCCCGGTTATATCTTTAACTATCTTCCTCTCGAATACTCAATCGAGGAGTATATCCAGTTCATCGAGGGTAGTTATTAATAACGAGACGCGTTCATTAATAAAACTTACTACCGAGTCAATATAGAACACGCACCGTATATTAACACGATAGTAGCAATAAACTTGAGATGAAAACGATTGAGATTGATAACCTCAACACAAGCGGTTTATTGGTTTAATCAATATAATTAATTCCCCTTAGATTATTAATCATGAGACGCATTCATTAACAATCCAAGTTTACTACCGTTGAAGGAACCGAATTAATAACAAGCGTATTAATCGATTGATTCTAGTAATAATTAATATATGAAACAAAACTAGTTGATCCTTTAAGTAATGTTGAAAATATTAATATGAAATATGAATAGGAATTAATTAATACTCAAGGAAGAATATTAAAGAGTATGAATCCTACTATAGTTAATATCAAGATGTTAACTAATTGTCTTCGTAGTAACACTTCCCAATATTAACATAGAGGAAGAAATAACTATTACTATAACTAATGTCAAGATGTTAACTAATTGTCATCTTAGTAATACTCCCCAACATTGATATAGAAATAGTATTTAAAGGAAGAATTAATATTCAAGGAAGAAAATTAAAGAGAATAACTCACAACTTACAAATTCATTAAGCTTCAAAGTAGCAAAACCAAGATGGAAGAGTTTAGCTCCTCATTTGGAGACTAAACATAATGAAAATATAAAGAAAGAACTATTCTAGACTGAGCTTAGAAGTATATAGGAATTAGTTATTTTATTGTGAAGGAAAGGGGTGTATTTATAGGCTTTTGGGAGCTGCAGGGTCTGATACCCGACCGGGTATATAGGATACCCGACCGGGTATCTTAGGAAATTTCCCAGAAATTCACTTTTCTGGGCATACCCGATCGGGTGTGTCGGCATACCCGATCGGGTATGTGACGAATCTTTACAAAAATTTGCTCCCACGATCATTTGTTCCCGGATTTGATTTGGACAATCGAATCAAGCAAATACCCGATCGGGTATAGGCAATACTCGACCGGGTACATGAGTATTTTTTCCAAATCGAAATCTTTCTTGCCTCCTTGCACTTCCCTTGATCTTTTAAGGTCCAATCTTGATCCCTTGGATGATCTTTGACCTGTTTAGCTCAAAAAAAGTCCTAATCTAAACAAATTACAAATAAATATGAAAATAAAGTATTACACCAAAAGTGTGTAATTTTCTCAACTAGAAATAATAAAAACTAGTTAAAAATACAAACATACAATCGGAAATTACATGAATATCAACTCCCCCACACTAAGCTTCTTTACTCGTCCTCGAGTAAAGTCAAATGTTTAACAATTCCAAGTCCTCAAAAGTTCAACAATTAACCAGAAAAAGCAAAAGACCACCAAGGATAACATATGAGTTTTACATCGAGTGTTTAGCTCAAAGAACAATATATTCTTGGGTTTCATGGCCTTCTATGCTCATCTCCTCTTTTCATCTTCAAGAGATTAAATGATGTCCTGTAAAAACAAGTATATCTCTCATATCTCTCATTTTGCCTAGATGCCTTTTCAGGTTTTCATCCTAGCATCTTTTTTATTTTTCCACCTCTCCACTCACTCATCATTTTTTGTAAGCCTTTTTTGCTTAGATTGCCCATTTTTTGGGTTTTCAACCTAACTAGCATTTCATTTTTTTTTGCGAAGAAAATAATGCTAGTTTACAAGGTATCAAACTTAAGTACGCACCGATGAGTGACTCCCCCTCACTTGGCTCGAAGCATTGTCCCTAGTGCTCGTCTCCATCATAACCGGGCTGACCGGTGCTCTAGATGAAATACTCCCGCCCCTTGTTCTCTTTGGTGCCATTTTCGCTTGATGCTTTGAATTTTGAGTTTCAAATTTCGGACTTGGGGGAGGGCGTAAGGCATTATTTTTGGACTTGAGTTTTTTTAAGGAAAAATGTGGTGTTGATGGATATGGGGTGTAGAGGGAAATGTGGTGAAGATTTTGGCGTTGGTTTGGAAAGATTTGGTGGAGATTTGAGGGAGTAATGGGAGAAAGAAACTTCGAAATTGGAGGTTTGGGGAAGATGAAATGGGTGTTTTGGGTGGCTAATTCGGGTTTAAAGATCGTGTACCCGACCGAGTACCCTGACATACCCGATCGGGTATGCCTGTGTTTCTTCAAAATCCGGGGTCCTACCCGATCGAGTTGGGGTATACTCGATCGGGCGTTTTGGTGCGAACATATTCCCAAAAAAAAAAAAAATTAACATACCCGACCGGGTATATGGAGCTGCCCGATCGGGTACTTCATTGACTTAATATTTGAATATGAATTTTTGTTCATAGGTACAAGCACCTTAGCTTGAATTTGACCAATTCATATGCTCTTAACTCTGTTGTTGGATCAGCAGACTCCCTTTCCTGCTTTTAATTATTTGCTATACTGCTGTCTTTGCCAATTTCAATTCAAATGAAAATTTCATTGTACAACTTGTATGGTTTGGAGTGTTTGGCGGGAGGGAGGGTCACATATTTGGAAATGCAAATTGAGTTTATTAAAGGGAAGGCTTTAATGATGCAGACAGAGCAAACAAAAGTAAGCAGGATTCATGTTTCTATATCTCCATGAGAAAGTCATTTAGTTTCACACACACATGGGAATGTCCCAAAAATATAATGTTTCCAAAAATGAATGAAGAGTGATTGAAATTTTATATGATAAATTGCTAGTCTGTTTTTATATCTTGAAAAATACAATGTTTCCACCGGAGTGGACATGTGGATTGAATCAGTTGAGCTCAGCCCAGACCAACTGAAGTGGACATACAGATCCTAGTCATTTAAATCCATCACTTTGACTATGAAGTTGCGTTGGGATTGCAACTTCTTTGTTGTTTCTAACGGTTATTACTAGTTTTTTTTATCTCTATAGATGTATACTATACATTTGAAATCTCAGCCGATCCATGGTATTTTAAATGTCATGTAACATTTTTAGGCACTTGATTGGTTGCAATCATACTACTGGAAGCCTCAAAGAGATGCCATCAAGAGGGATCAAACTACCAAATTTCAAAAAGAAACAAGGGACAAGTTGCATGAATTGGCTAATTGTTTGAAAGAAAAGGAAAATGGCACATTATGCTCTTTTACCAAGAAAAAAAGTGAGTAAAAGTTCAATTCTTAAATTTTGATATAATTACCTTTCCATTTCCTTTACTCATTGAATCTTATCTCTACCTAACTCCTCTTATGCTAAGTGTGAAATTTCAGTGCGGTTAAAATATTTGTGGTGTCTATATTTTAGACTTTCAATGTTCTAACTTTTTACATAGTTTCATGCTTCCAAGCTGTTCAAGTTTGATGTTATGTACCTCAAGCAAAGCTTTAAATTGTTACTTGGTAGTTGGTACCCAGTGAGTGTTCAAATTTTAATCGGTACTGAGTGGGTGTTGTAACTTGTATGTCCCTATGTATTGATAAGATCAATAGCCTTCATGTAGCCAGTCTCAATTATGATGTTCCTCCATTCATTTATTTTAGCAATTCTGATTCCTTTCCTGATAGCATATAATTCATTCAGAATAACACTGCAGTGAGGAGTCTTCTTGCAGAAAGCAAATAAAGTGTCCCTCATGGTTTCTACTTTCTAATAATTCTTGTCCCCTAAAAGAGAAACAACTATTGCTTGTAACACTTCCATCTGTATTATTCTTAAGCCAAAGTGGAGGACTATCCCAACAAAGATGGATAACTCTGTTCTTGACCACCAGTTTTTCAGTTGCCTAATTCATCCGTGCCAGGATGCTCTCAATCTGTTGGATAATCAGTCTATTGCCCCGCTTAGGATGGTTATGTTTGATTTCATTCCTATTTCTCCGAAGGGTCCAAAAAATAATTGCTGCAAGACTCTGAATCCTTTGGTCCTTGAAGCCACCAGTTCATGAACCAGGATTGAATGGTGTTGTCCTTCTTGATTTGGATGTGTTCCTTGCTGCAAAATAATCTCAGACCTCCCCGGCATGATCACTTGTAATGAAAAGGGATTTTTAGTGTCTCTTCGTGATTGCAATCATTGCATAGCACACATTTGAATGCTAATTGTATTGGCATTCTTTTTCTCAGAATAGTATCAACTAGAATGTACCCTGGTAGGATCTCCAGAAAATCAAGGACATATTAGGAGGAACTCACCCAATTCCAGTTATAATTGTTGGATAGCTGGTTGACGCTTCAATTTCTGACCAAATTAAGGCATTATATCGTTGTAAACTCACCATATTATCAGAATTCTTCCAGAAGATAATATACTCCTCACCAGTATTCTCCAACTTCATAATGATGTCCACCATCCTTGAGAGAACACTCTCTAAGTCTATATTTTTAGAATACTCCAGCTCCTGTTTCCCCAATAATCTTCAACTCTCTCATTTAGATTTTACCTCTACTTTGCCTGCTGTTGTAGGCTTCCTTGAGGTAGCCAATGATCAATCCAAAAGCTATTATCAATCACCAAGTCTTGGGAGGACTTCATTCTTCCCCAACAAATGAGACCACTTGTTTAATCTAAACCATTCTAGGATGATTTTAGGGCATTATTTATTCCATGCTGCTTTCTTCCATCAGGAGTTCTGCAATCTAAACTTCTACCAAAGCTTTGCAGTGGACCAACTTGAAAATGTCAGATAAAAAGGGATCATTTTCTCTTTGTAGTCAGCTAGTGTATACTTAAATAATACTTCCTCCGTTATGTTATAGTTGCAAAGTTTCCATTTTCACGTTTGACCATGCACAATTTTGACCATTAATATATTTCATTCCGTATAAGCAAAAAAATCAAAAAAATCAGATTTTGAAATTTTTAGATGAGAGGTATTATACAATACTTTTCAAAAATTAAATTTCTAATACATTAATAGATAAAATGTAGTCCAAGTACAGTTTGTGAATAGTCTAAAATTCATCATGTTGCAACTAATTGAAGAACAGAAGTAGTCTTAATTTTAAATATGCTTGTACCGAAACCATGTTTGAGCTAAAAAAGTTGAGTTTTGTAACTCATATCGTCCCGTACATGAAATTTAGCGTGTTTATCCTAGTAAGTGATATTTCTGAATCGGTCTTGAACTACATAGTTGTATGGCAATCCCAACTCGAGCTGAAGCATAAGAAATTCTAATTGAAGTCAAACCGAACTCAAAATCATGTTTTTTTGGTTGGATTCGGTTTATATGCATTTCTACAAACCTACACATGCAACATGGTTATCTCATAGGGAGGTGCATTTAATGATTTTATTTTATAAAGTTATTTTGCTTTTCATTACCAAGTACTATTGCTATCAGCTTGGCTATGATCATTTCATCTCTTATTTACGTAGTATTCTTAACTTTACTTGTAACCATTGCAATAGTCTTTTAAGCATTCAAGGTTTTCTTAACTTAGCTTGGCTATGATCATTTCATCTCTTATTTACGTAGTATTCTTAACTTTACTTGTAACCATTGCAATAGTCTTTTAAGCATTCAAGATTTTCTAACTTAGCTTGGCTATGATCATTTCATCTCTTATTTACGTAGTATTCTTAACTTTACTTAGTAACCATTGCAATAGTCTTTTAAGCATTCAAGGTTTTGTTACCCCCTCATATAATATCTTTTTGCCTGTTTGGTGGAGCACATAGAGAACAAACCAGTAGTTTGAAAAGTGTTTTTGGTGCTGGATGGGCGCATATTCAGTTCTAGAGACGGGTTAAATTCAAAAAATGCTTTCAACTGAAAACTTTGTGCCTAGACTGGACTTTATTTTACAGATGCTTATAATGTTTTTCTCATTGAGGGTTGATGTTTTTTCAGGTCCTATGAAACCAGTTACCAAGTATTTGAAGAATATTCTTCGGTTGTATTATTCGTCCTCTTCGGAAGTGGTATCGGTGCTTTTGGAAATGTTGCTTAATGCATTAGATTCTTCACATTTAGCAGGTCAGCCAGATTGTGCTGAAACAGTCAATGGATCTCTTGGTATAGATGCTATATTTGATGATTGGAAACCTGTTCTTACAAAGTTATCAAAGAAAGCATCAGACTTTCTTGTTATGTTTCTTAGAGGAATCCTTGATAAAATTGAGATACTTGCAGCCATGGAGTCTCAAGTTGGTATGTAATTTCTTAACCATATCTGTCACATCGAAGCTTGACCAATACTCACAGTTGCTTCCTCTTTTGGGCCGGTATTGGGGGGGTGGGGTGGTAATTTGAAGTAGTGGGACGAACAAGTACTTTTTTGCGGAGGTATTTGACTGAACGTTTTGCCTTCCAATTATACTACGTATTAAAATGCTGCCACTTGCAGTGTTCAGCAATACATTTGGCTAGTGTTTTAATCATGCCCAAAACGCTACAATCTTGAACCTGCAAATTCTAACAAACTTGTTTCTTCTTCCTTTTAGCACAAAACACCCCCTCCAGAAAAATAAATTTTCAACATTTAAATATCATCTTATCAAACACCTAATAAAAAAACTCTTAAAATTTAAGAACACAATTCAAATACACAGTATTCGGGAACGTCAAAGCACAACCTCAAAGCGCTTGACCAAACATGAATAATATTGATTGTTATGTGAATGTGCATCCATAAAAGATCTAAATAATGTCTTTTTATGGTCTTTTGGAGGTCCAGTTGGAGTTTGTAATTATACTGATATTATTAGATTATTTTACAGTGTGGATCTTGATTACGTAACTTTCATGCTTTAGGTAATGCAACCGTTTCTCGCCAAATCCAACGGCTCTCTCTCCTGCTTGAATCATTAGCAGTGAATATGAAATCTTCAGAGGATCTTGTTCTGCAAAAGGCAAATCTACATGCCGTTTTATGCAAATGTCTTACATTGTCCTCTCACGGAAACAAGCATCTGATGTCTTCATCTGTTATTCTTGCAAGCCTGTTAGGAAATATCCCTTTGCTTGATAAGCTGAAAAAGCTCTCTTTGCTGAGTGTGTTTGAAGAGTCAGATCCACCTACTGTACAATCCGAAATCTTCCTCTCGAGGCAAGAAGAGTCTCTTCATCAGGCTGTCAAGAAGCTTGAATTGATTAAGCTCAGGTCATTGAAGGGTAAAAAGGTAAATGAGAGTCCGAACCGTGCGGTCGTGGGGATCCGTCGATGGGTTGTAGTTGATTCTTGGAAACCATGTCCCATAGGCATGTTGCCTCATGATTTTGGTTTTTCAGGCCGCCTTCCTATTCTTGATTGCATTCAAGTTTCAGAACCATCAAGCCCAAATAGTAATTGCGGAAAGAGGGTGGCAGATATTGCTGTCCAATGTTTAGACAGTTCAGCTCATAAGAAAACCAGAGAAGCTGAATCAGAAGACATGTATGAAGCAGATGAGAATCAGAACAAAATGTCTTCTTCGGGTATTAAGGGATGTTTGATGATTGGTGGTGACTGGAAAAAAATTAGTAGTGAAGAGTTGCTAGCCTTTGCTTCATCTGTGAGGATATTGGTTTAGCCTTTGCGTTCAGAGTTTTTGTGTGTGTTTACTTTTATCGACTGCCAGCCACTCTGCCACAACCAAATGGACTTTGACGACCATGAATGCCATTAAATATCTGAGTATATAGTATATTTATTATTTAATGTCAGTATTGATTGGTTTTATATTACGTGTTTTTTTATTTTGATTCTAGGTAAAGAAAAAGTATTTTTAATTTGAGTTTTCTCTTACCGCTTTATAGAACTTCTAATGGAGTTTTTGAATATGTAAATTTTATTCCCTAAAAAATCTAATTGTGGGCAGGGATCATTTAACTTTATAGTTAATCAAACATAGTAAATTGTGTGGGAACTTGTGTACACTGTAGAGAGTACATTTTCTAAGATGAGTTTCTCCAAATCTTGACATTCTACTTTACCCTTTTCTACCACATTATTTTTTATTTTTATGGACTATTCAATTTTCCCTCACTCTTAGACTACAATTGTAAAAAATATGTACATCTATTTTCCTAAAATACGTGTCAAGTGCAAATGTATACATTTAGGATAGAAAATAGTATAAGCTGAATAATCCTAAATTTCTCCTTTACAGTCTATTAACCCTAGTCTTTTCATCTTAAATATTTTCAAGAATTTATTGTGGGCTCTGAAAGCAATCTTGTTTTTCCCATTATTCTCACGTTTTTATCTCACAAGTGATATTGCTTTAGTTTTTTAGTTTTCAATTGAAAAGGTGTTTGAAGTTAATTGATTATTTTAAAGAGCAAAAGTAAACGCATTTTATATGAGAAAGTGATTACGTCTCGAGTTTTTTTGTATTGATTGAAATAGAGAGTTGGATTAAAATGTTTCAATAACTTGCTATTGCAAGTAATTTTTTTGTGAAGTATCAGAAGGACAAAAATCTAGGTGCATGGGTAAAAAAATCAAATGATATAGTTTAGAATAAAATTCTGAATACTCAAATTATGAAAAAAAAACTAATGTTTTTATTCCATTTTAATTAAATTTTTTAACTTGAAATGATTGATCAATATACCAAACATGCTTAATTATTCTTGTATAGCCGTATAGGCGTAACTTCACACTTTGTGTAAAGTGTCTCTCGCAGAGAAAGCTCGTAGATCAGACTATAAATCAAGTCACAAAAAAGTCCCGTGGACTATTGAGAGTATAAAAACATATTATATATGATAATGATATAATAATATTAATAATAATAAATATTGTGTTTTGCCTACTGAGTCTAATACACACTTTATAGGTATGTATAAATGGTCAAAATGGGTATTAGGTTTAGGATATCTAATTATCTCGATCAATATCACTTATATAGTAGGTATGTATTAGTTGTATTTTTTAATTGAAGAATTACAACTAATAACATTATGTATTAGTATGTACATGATGGATAACCGACCTGGGGGTAGCCGGAATCCGGGAAAAGTAAGAAGAGAAGAAGATCGGAAAAGCTTAAGTCAGTATTTTAGCAGAGTAACAACAAGAGAGTCTAATTTCATATCCCTTTCCACAGGCTGGAATGTGATATTTATACTAAAAGAGATACTTTGTGCCCAAGTAAAAAAGATGTTATTCTATTGTGGAGAAATTGCATGTCCTGTTTGTCTAACAAACTAAACAAACTGATCTACTGGGGCGTTGGCACGTGTAGAGGTGATTAGAGAGATAACTGGATAGTTGGCTGATTGGAACTGCCTGTAACAAACTGATACTGGAATACACGTGCGGGCTACATACACGTGTATTATCCGGAGTATTCTTCCTCTTAACTGCCAGGAGTGACGTGACACCCTTTGGAGGTGGTGATGACGTGTTGATAGCCTTGTGCAGCATTTACTTCCGTATATTGTCTAAGTCCATAGTGTTTTGCGAGACCCCGAGCTCCCTGAGGTCAGAGCTCGGGTGCTCGTGCCCATCGCTAGAGGAGATATCTTTGATCTTGTCCTGCGCTATCGAATTCGATTGACCTTGCGTAAGTGCCTGAGGTCAGAGCTGATACCGAGCTCGGTCTGCTCGAGCTCGGCCTCATATCTTGCCTTGTCTGAGTGATTCCCGAGTTCGGTACGGTATACCGGAGTTCCTGTCTAGTTCCGACCGATTGACATGCCTACATAGAACCTCTTTTCACACCGAACTTTAGCCTAGCTGTTATCACCTATACTTTAAAGGCTCGTCATCACTCACGTCTTTCATGTCAACTAATACATGCTTACCAAACATTAAAATTGATGAGAAAAACTGCCCAACCCCACTGAGGTGGTGTAAATTAGCAGACAAATATGTTAGGTACACACCAATTCTTTGTACCCAGTTCTATAGGGAAACCGTAAATGGAGTTTTAGTAATAAAAAAACAATCATTTAGAGAGTTTCTAAAAATTTATTTAGAATTTCTGATTTTCCGAAACGAAAACTTTATCTGTACAACTTCCATGTTTCAAAATATGTACTTTCTAATAATTAACTTGCCTACAATTCGGTTTCAAGTTTAGGACTTGGCCGAATAATTGATATCCAAATTGAGAAATTGGTTCCAAGATACAAATTTCCATAAAAACAGTTTCAGTTCACTTTGCCCCTGACCCCAACCTTAGTGTAAGAAAAATGATATCCAAATTTAACATTCTCACGTTCCAAATCAATAGGTTTGTTGTCATTTCGGATCATAATAACTCATCAAATCAAACACTACAGTAAAATGTCAATTAATTCTTCTGTCTTTGTACACAATTGTTTCATATATCCTGTTGGGATATTGACCTAGAGGCCCAATACCCAGATCGGGAAGGCCCAAGATATCCGGCCCAAGTAACAGGCCCATCACTCTATGGTGAGAAGATCCAGTAAGGAGACATACCGAACGGGGTTCGGCCCAAATAAAGGTTGGCCCAATAAGAAGACATACCGAACGAGGTTCGGACTATTTACTATACTTGGGCCAAGTTGACAGCTTCTTCAGTATGGACCAACATCCCGTTCGAGCAACGGCCAACCAGCAAGTGGCCAGGTGCAGTTAATGCCAGACTGTGACATCAGCAAGTGGAAGCATGGATGACCAAGTCGGTGGAACAACGGCCAATCAGCAAGAGGCAGCCCATGCTCTCCATTAGTATAAATAGAAGGTTTCAAGTCATTGTAAGGGTTAGCATTTCAATACTCAAGCTCTAGAATAGCATCTTTTGCTCTTATTTCTTGTATTAAGGCATAGTTTCCGACTTATCGATCGGGAAATCCCTTGTAATCAGATTGGTTAATTAATACAAGTGAGCTTTCGAGTTTTAGTTAGTTCAGATCTTATATTTTCTCGTACACCCTGATTCTAGGCCATTCCTGATATATCCAAAGTTCGTGTTGGGCTTTCGGATCTACGGGACTTACCCTCAACATTGGCGCCGTCTGTGGGAACTTGCAAAAAGTTTCACTTTCTAAACATCCAAAAAACCTCTATTTTTTAAAATGGTCAGAATCAATTCCTATCATACAAACGACGGTTCACACCGTCACGGGAGGAGTAACACCCCGGGGAGTCAAAACCCCCAGGGACAATCCAGTCGAGGATCCTATCCTCGCATTAATGGGGATTTTGTGATCCCCGAATCTCTGAGGAGAAATCCCCAGGCCATGCGTGACATGGCCCAATTCATGCAGCACATGGCAAACGAAGAAGAAGGAGGTTCCAGCTTTACAGGAGAAACTCCACGCGCGGAAACGACCACAGCGTCATCCCGCTCACATACCCATCGGGATAATCGACGTAGCGCCCCACCAGCAGCGCATCCCAGTCCCAGTGACCGAACCCCGGTCGGGTCGCAAGCTAGAGGACCAACTCCCGTCGGTCATCATTTCCAATATGCCGAGCGGGAAAATACTAGGGCCCCTCAGCAGCATTGGGATCGGGACTGTGCGGATATGAGGGTTCCACCACCGTCCCCTCTGACGGCCCAGGAGGAAGAGATGGCCGAGATAAGGAGGCAAATGAACGAAATGCGGGACCACATGAACAGGGTACCTGCACAACCTGCACCAGTCCAACTGGGGATTACTTCCCCGTTTACAAGGGAGCTCATGTACGCGGATATCCAAGGGGGTGCCAAGCCCCCGACCGGCCAAATATATGATGGGGTGGGAGATCCCCACGTACATCTGAGGAGTTACCAAGGCGGACTTATGCTGCTAGGAGCACCCGAGGCTGCCATTTGCCGTTTGTTTTTCAGCACGCTCAGGGGGCCTGCCCAGGAATGGTTCGGGACATTACAGCCCGGGTCAATCAATAGCTTTACCGAGTTATCAACGTTATTCTTGGCTCAATTTGCTTCCAGTGCCAATCCCAAACGGCACTTCAGCTATCTGACCAGCGTGAAGCAAAACGCCAAGGAGACCCTCAACCAATTCCTGAAAAGGTGGAGGGATGAAACTTTAACAGTGGGGAGCATGACGGATGATACCGCCATCACCCTGTTCACGAATGCTCTCCGAACGGGGGAGTTGTACAAAGAGTTGAAGAAGAATCCGGGCACGGCGTACGCCGAAGTATTAGATAGGGCGCGCAAGCATGCCGCCCTAGAAGAAGAAATAATGATCAGGGATAAGGTCATTACGCCTGCTGCCCCGATCAGACTGGCTGATCGGCGGGGTCCTAGCCCAGCGGCCACTTTACCTCCCAAACAAGGGAGATTTACACCCCTGGTCCTATCAATAGCGGCCATCTATCAGAACGAGAGGGACAATATTCCCATCCCGACTGATTCTGGACAATTCATGGGAACGGATGACAATGCTTTCTGTAAATATCACAACAGAAAGGGTCATGCCACCAATGCCTGCAGGGCCCTGCAAACAGCAATTGAGGATCTGATCCGAAGGGGCCATCTGGGCAAATATGTGAACAAAGATCCGAATGCAATGGGCACGTTAAAACCGGCCAGGAAACCTAACAGCTGGCGCCGGGATGTTCAACGTGACGCCCAGCCTCAGAATGATGTGTATGTTCCTCCCAGAGAGGAGCCAGAGGGCTCGGGAGGCCCCGGAAAGAAGCCTCGAATGGAGGTCAGGGTCATATTTGGGGGCGGAGAGACCGGAGATTCGAACGCCGAACGGAAAAGGTTCGAGCGGAGTCTTTATGTGGGGTCCGTCTCCGCGCCCCCCCAGAAGAAAGGAAGGACAGACCCGATCACGTTCGGGCCAGCTGATCTACCCAACTCTCCAAGCCCCCACAGGGATGAACTGGTAGTAAGCATGTGTATTGACAATGCTTTAATCCGCCGAGTGCTGGTCGATACTGGGAGCAGTGTGAATGTATTGTATCTACAATCATTCGAGAAAATGGATCTGCAAAGGAGCAACCTGACCCACCTGTGGACTCCGCTGGCGAGTTTTACCGGTAACTGCATCGAGGCGGAAGGGACCATCCAATTGATGGTTGAAATTGGAGATGAAACCCACAGAGCGTCACTCCGAATGACGTTCGTGGTGGTAGACATAAAGTGCGCCCATAATGCCATTTTGGGCCGACCGGGATTAGAAGATCTGGAGGCAATAGCCTCTGTCCGCCACTCATGCATCAAATTCCCCACAGACACTGGGGTAGGGGTGGCCAGAACTGACCCAACAACAGCCCGGACATGTTATCGGGAGGCCCTGAAACAGATGAACACTCGTGGGATGCGGGTGGAAACCCACCGAACGGAGTTCGAGGCACATCCGGAGCCCGCCACCCTTCTTGAACAAATCGACCTCGACTTTCCCCCGAACCGTAAGGTCGCTATCGGGGTAGATCTGGAGGCACATATCCGGGATGGCGTGATTGCCGTCCTCAAAAGGTTTCAGGTGCTATTTGCCCGGGGGCCAGAAGATATGCCCGGCATTGATCCAGAAATAATATGCCACAAACTTGTCGTTCGGTCTGATGCAAAACCGGTCCAACAGAAGAAACGATACCAAGCGACCGAACGGCGGGAATTCACCAAGAAGGAAGTGGCCACTTTGCTGAGGATAAAGCATATCCGTCCGGTAATCCACGTAGAATGGCTATCCAATGTGGTTCTAGCCCCAAAGCAATCTACCTGGAGAATGTGCGTGGATTACTCCGATCTCAATAAAGCATGCCCCATGGATCCCTACCCAGTACCGAGGATCGATCTGCTAGTGGATGAGACTGCTGGGTGCGGGTTACTGAGCTTCATGGATGCTTTCCGAGGTTATCATCAGATATTCATGCACCCGGCCGATGCAGAGAAAACGGCGTTTGTTACTTCGGATGGCGTGTTCTGCTACATCGTCATGCCATTCGGATTAAAGAACGCGATGGCAACCTTCCAGAGGATGATCGGGATGCTGTTTAAAGATGTACTGGGTGTCACAATGGAAGCCTACGTTGATGACATCCTGATCAAGAGCAAAAAGAAGGAAAACCATGTCCTGGACATAGAAAAGGTGTTCAGGATAATGCAAAGGGCGAATATGAGGCTCAATCCCAAGAAATGCGCGTTTGCTGTAAGAGGAGGCAAATTTTTGGGGTACATGATGAGCGAGAAGGGGATTGAGCCCAATCCAGAAAAAGTAAAGGCCATTGTGGACATGGAGCCCCCGAGGAATCTCAAGGAAGTACAAAGATTGACCGGTCGGCTAGCAGCCCTGAGCAGATTCCTATCAAAACTGGCCGATCGAGCTATCCCGTTTTTCCAAATCATGAAGAAAGCCAACCCTTTCGAGTGGACGGCCGAATGCCAAACGGCCTTTGAGGATTTCAAGACATATCTGTCTTCCCCCCTGGTCTTGACAAAGCCCGAACCAGGGGAACATCTGTATATGTACCTGGCTGTAGCCGACTTGGCCGTAAGCACGGTTCTGCTGAAAGAAGAAGATGGCGTTCAATGGCCAATATATTTTGTGAGCAAGGCGTTGAACGGCCCGGAAACCAGGTACACATTGCTAGAAAAGAATATACTGGCCCTGATAGCTGCCATTACACGCCTGGCCCCGTATTTCCAAACCCACCCGGTAACTGTATATACTACCCAACCATTATCCACCATCTTGAGAAATCCTATGGCAAGTGGGCGCATTACCAAGTGGAGTCTCCTGATCGGGCAGTACGAGGTAGATTTCAAACCCCGGCCTACTATCAAAGGGCAGGCCCTGGCAGATTTCATTGCAGAATGTACCGCCCGGCCCTCAGAAAAAGATTCAGAGAACAACGAGTTGGATAACTGGTGGGAAATGTACGTGGATGGAGCATCTAGTGCTAAAGGTTGTGGAGCTGGAGCTGTGATCACATCGCCCGAGGGGTTCAAAGCGTATTATTCCATTCATTTTGATTTTAAGGTGACCAACAATGAGGCTGAATATGAAGCTCTCATTGCTGGTTTAAAGTATGCAAAGGCCCTGGGCGCCGATCGGTTAAAAGTGAGATCGGACAGTCAACTGGTGGTACATCAAGTGAACGGCACGGTTGAGGCCAAAGAAGAAAGGATGAAGGCATACAAGGAAATGGTCGAGGAGCAGATACATAAATTTGAACAGGTGGTGCTCGACCAGATATCCAGAATCGAAAATACTGAAGCAGATATCCTGTCCAAATTAGAACATGCAGCGTTTGACGATCGGGCACAGGAGATCCCGGCTCATATCCAACGTTTTGCCCATCGGGAAACATTGACAACCCCAGCAATAATGGTTCTCCAGATCGAGGCCATATCTTATGCCATCCCGAGCAGGGTCATGGATATGACCAACTACCTAAAAAATGGAACCCTCCCGCAAGATAAAAATCCTGCTTATCAAATAAAATGCATCCAGAGGAGGGCTTCCATGTTCAAGTTGGTGGACGGGCAGCTGTACAAAAAGACATTTGGGGGACCATATCTGAAATGCCTCCCACCCGATCTAGCGGCAGCTGTAATGGAAGAGATTCATGAAGGTATCTGTTCCAGTCACCAAGGGCCCAAGACGCTGGCCAGAAAAATCATCTTGCAAGGATATTATTGGCCGACTATCCAACAGGACTGCTTCACGCATACCAGGAAATGTAAGGTATGCCAATTATACGCACCGGTTCCCGGACGGCCTGCCACTTTCTACACTCCAATGACGGTGGCCCTTCCATTTGCAAGATGGGGAATAGACCTGTTAGGTCCTCTACCTACTGCACCCGGAAACAACAAGTACATCATTGTGGGGATAGATTACTTCACCAAATGGGTAGAGGCCGAGCCACTGGCCAGCATCACAGATGTAAAGTGCCAGAAGTTTGTCTGGAAAAATATCATTTGCCGATTCGGAATCCCTGAACATATTATAACTGACAATGGAACGCAGTTCGTGAGCCGGAATTTTAAGAACTACCTGGTCAAATGGGGGATCAAGCATTCCAGAGCATCCGTCGTATACCCTCAGGCAAATGGCCAGGTAGAAAATATGAACCGAACCATCATGGATGGCATGAAGAAGAAGCTGGAAGAATACTCCTCGTCGTGGCCTGATCAGTTGAATTACATTCTATAGACTTACAGGACCACACCCTGAACGGCCACGAGAGAGACTCCATTTGCCCTTGCCTATGGTTTTCAAGCCAAAGTACCAACGGAGATCCTAGTTCCCACACACCGAACGGTGCATTACAGCCCAGAACAGAATGAAGATAACTTACGGGCCGAATTGCATTTCGTAGAAGAAAGGAGGGATCTGGCAGCGGCACGAATGGAAGAGTATCACAGAGCCACAAGAAGATACTTCGATAAGCAGGTTAAAGTTCGTCCAATCGAGGTAGGGGACCTGGTACTAAGAAAGAGAGAGAAAAGCAAACCGCTCGAAGGGGGCAAAATGGCACAAAATTGGGAAGGCCCCTACCAAGTGTGTAAGAAGTATGCTTCAGGAACGTTTGGCCTACAAAATACCGAAGGCCGACCGGCAGGAACCTGGAATGTAGAGCATCTGAGGAGATTTTATCAGTAAAAACGGCTGTTGCCACCTCTAAAATATATATATATATATATATATATATATATATATTCATATATATATATATAGAGAGAGAGAGAGAGAGAGGGAGACATAACTTCCACAAACTCAACCCATGGTTAACTCGATCATTCCGGATAACCAAATGACAAACGGGTTAACAACATGGAAGGAAAATCAATTCTCAGTTTAGAGAGTTTTTGACCCTAGAATTACGAAAGAATAAAGGGATCAAAAACGGCTTGAAGAATTGAGGCTCAGAAAATCGGTGCCCATGGTTAACTCGATCATTCCGGATGACCGAATGACGAACGGGTTAATTCCATGGAAGGAAAATCAATTCTCAGTTTAGAGAGTTTTTGACCCTAGATTTATGTAAGAATAAAGGGATCAAAAATGGCTTGAAGATTTTAGGCTCAGAAAATCGGTGCCCATGGTTAACTCGATCATTCCGGATGACCGAATGACGAACGGGTTGATTCCATGGAAGGAAAGTCATTCTCAGCCAAACGACTGGGAGTTTGACGCTCAGATAGTCTCACCTCAGTGGTTAATATGAGAATCGATTCTGGAAAACCGAATGACGAACATATTAGCAGTTTGGAGGGAGCCATACATTTCAGCAAGAGTTTTGACCCTGTAATTATGCATTGATGAAGGGATCAAAATGGCCTGGAGTTCGAAGGACAATGATTCTCACCTCAGCTTGTTAACACGTAGAATCATTCTGGATGATCGAATGACGAACGGGTTAACAGCTTGGAGGGAGCTGAGTCGTCAACTTAGCCAAAGTCGACCCTGTAATTACGTACGGGCAAAGGGATCAAAACGGCTTGGAGATGGTGACAAGACTGTAAGATATGGATTAACCGAGCGACGTTCGGATAAGGTACGGATTGTCGTCCGGGGAATCGGAACTATGGTTTTGAAAAATCTCGCCTCAGTCATAAAATTTGACTTGGAAGCTAGTCGCCCTTTTAGCTATAAGTAAGAAATGACCCAACTTCGGCGACCTTGCTTACAGTCCAAAAAGGGTTACCTCAGACCCCTAATATGGATTATACGAGCCAGAGAAAACAATTCGGAATGCATCGGAATTATGGGTTTGGAAGGAGAGAGCCTCACCTCAGCTTATTAACGCGTGAAGTCATTCCGGATGACCGAATGTCGAACGTGTTAACAGTTTGGAGGGAGCCCCTATCCCAGCCGAGAGTTTGACCCTGTGGTCACGATCAAAACGGCTTGGAGGAATTCACCTCAGCTAAGAATTTTGAACCCGTGCGTCACAAACAGGAAAAGGGATCAAAACGGGTTCGGAAAGGTGTCAGAACAATTATGAAGAGAGTCTCACCTCAGCTTATTAACGCGTGAAGTCATTCCGGATGACCGAATGTCGAACGTGTTAACAGTTTGGAGGGAGCCCCTATCCCAGCCGAGAGTTTGACCCTGTGGTCACGATCAAAACGGCTTGGAGGAATTCACCTCAGCTAAGAATTTTGAACCCGTGCGTCACAAACAGGAAAAGGGATCAAAACGGGTTCGGAAAGGTGTCAGAACAATTATGAAGAGAGTCTCACCTCAGCTTATTAACGCGTGAAGTCATTCCGGATGACCGAATGTCGAACGTGTTAACAGTTTGGAGGGAGCCCCTATCCCAGCCGAGAGTTTGACCCTGTGGTCACGATCAAAACGCTTGGAGGAATTCACCTCAGCTAAGAATTTTGAACCCGTGCGTCACGAACAGGAAAAGGGGTCAAAACGGGTTCGGAAAGGTGTCAGAACAATTATGAAGAGAGTCTCACCTCAGCTTGTTAACACGTGAAGTCATTCCGGATGACCGAATGTCGAACGTGTTAACAGTTTGGAGGGAGCCCCTATCCCAGCCGAGAGTTTGACCCTGTGGTCACGATCAAAACGGCTTGGAGGAATTCACCTCAGCTAAGAGTTTTGAACCCGTGCATCACGAACAGGAAAAGGGATCAAAACGGGTTCGGAAAGGTGTCAGATATAAAGATACATAAGCCGAGTGAGGTTCGGCCATGTAGAAAAGATTGTGGACAATCAAGGGAATAGAAAAAGTGCAACAGACAAAGGAAAAAAAAACCCCAGTTTATTCTTCGGCGTTACTAGCCGGAATATACAAAAACAAATATACAAGAAAAGAGACAACAGATAAGGAAAGGCTATACTAATGGATGATCGTCATTCGGGGAGGATGTAGGCTGAGAGCTCCCTGCCTGCACTGCATCGTCAGGTGCTGCTTTGGATCTTTTCTCCATGACACGATCATACGTATTCCCGAACAGATCATCAAAGCCTAGTTCATCAGGATCGAACGGCTTGGGGAAACGCTCTAAGATCAGTTCAAGATTCCTATCCAGAAGCAGGTCCTGACTTTGCTTGACGGTTTTCTCGGTCAGGACATCCAAGAAAGATTTCCCTTCCGGCGTGCTGTCCAGGAGGTCGATCCCTGCCTTGATGGGATCTGAGCTCTCACGCAAAAATTGGCCAAGGTGAGGACCTAGGAATTGCCGGGCCGTATTCTCCAGAGCGAGGTTCAGCGCCTTGCCCCGTTGGAAATCCACTACCGATTGCTGAGCAATCTGAGAGGTATTGACCGTGTAGGGTTCGGGCAGATGATCTCCGACAGCCTTGTCAAATTTAATGCCAGCAGATTCAGCAGCCCGCACCTTGGCCCGGAGTTCTTTGAGCTCCCGGTCGCGACGATGGGACGTCTCCTGCATCTCGTCCAGAGCAGCTTTTGCCTTCTCACCCTCTTTGGCCTGCTCTTGGAGGTCGGTCGCTAACTTCCGAGCGGCGGAGAGGAGGACCTGGCTGTCATCCCGATCACTGGCCAGGGCTTTCATCTCCTTCTCCGCGGCAAGAAAGGCTTTGTGATAATACACGCCAGCCTGAAAACAAGGTTACAATGAAGGTCAGAAAAGGTAGAACATAAATAACAGAAAGGTATGGGACGGACTGAAATGTACCTTAAGTGCTTCCTGGTGACCTGCTTCAAAAAGGTCCGACCAGTGAGTCAAGTTAGTGAAGCTCGGGGGAACTTTGATCGCGGTATGACACCACATAGAAGATGGCATCAACCCGAACAGATACCTCCCTTCCGATCTGGGCCCCATATTTGAGAACTCAACAAACATCCGATCATCGATCGGTGTGGCAGTAAGAACCGGAGTTGGTCTGTTGGCAGGTACTGAACTTTTGGGCTCAACCTCCGGCCCGGTCAAGTCAACCACATGGTCGATCGGGATCAGATGATCGCCATCATTTCCTTTGCGCTTTTTTCGGGTTTGCCCCGCCGAATCACGATCGGCTATCATCTTCTCTTTCCCTTTAGCAGAGGAGATGGAACGCCGGACGGGTATGGGAGAGATCACACCTACAAGAAAGAGAAATAAAAAATAAGAAAGTTGAATTGCGAGAGCGAAGGATGATCGGGTTAAAACCCTACTATGCTTACCAATTTCAGCAGATAACATGCTCGAGGCAGTGACAAAGCTGCGAAGACTTCTGGTCCCTCCCATTCGCAGAGACTCAGCCTGGGAGCGTAGAACGGCATCCACCCTGGGCAGGGAATCCCGGACGGGATATGCGTTCCACCGGTCCGGGAATGGCAAAGAATCACCTACCCGAACGAACAAAAACCGCTCTTCCCAGTCAGCCTGCGGGGTAACGTTCTCTGTGAACAGCTGACGGTCAGAACGGGCTACCAGCTTCAAGTACCCGGTCGTCCAGTACGGCTGATAGCAGTAATGATAAAGAAATAGATCGACGCTCGGGGTGATCCTCAACTCGTGGCACCGGATAATGAAGCCTGTCAGAATCCGGTAGGTGCTGGGCACGAACTGAGCGGGCAGTACAGCAACCCGGTGTAAGAACTCCACTATGAATGAGTGGAGAGGGAACCGAAGTCCAGCAGTCAGGGCATCGAGATGCACTAGCACGTGCCCCGGTCTGTGCCTCATAGGATGCCGAATGAATCCGGCATAGTATTCTCTTGGTGGGGGCAACAACTGGCTAAGTTGCCGTTCAACATCTTCTGGGAGACGTTGTTTGTGTTTGCGTATGCGATTGAAGTGTAGGGCAATGCGGGGTGGCCGTTCGGACATCCCCTTGTTATAAACCTGAAGGTCATCTCCCGACAGGCATCCGTCCTCCTGCGGCTGTTCGATAGGTTTGCTGACCTGAGTATTGGCAAGTTTGGGTGTTTGGGACGAAGAGCCTTCGGCCTGATTACCAGTGGATGTTTTGCTCTTACGAATCAAAGGCATCTCTTCAGATTCTGAGCTAGAGGAGTAGTACATAAAAACGCTGGAGGAAATTTGGGAACTCTAGAGAGAGAAGGCTTGAGAGTATGCAAAGGAATTCTAGAGAGAGAAAGCTCGAAAGAAAAGTGAGAAAACAGCAGGAGAAATTAGGGGAAGCACCTCCCTATAAATAGGGAAAGTACCGCACAAATCCCTAATCCAGGAGCAACACGTGGCATTGGGTGGTTACGATTAATTTGGGGCATTTATGATTCATTTTTTATGCACATACCCCGGACGGGCTTACAGAGGATTAGAAAAAATCACAGGGGCTTGCTGTTTAGAAAAATGCTAAAAGTCAGGAAGAAAATGCTAAGTCCTAAATGTCAGCCTGAAGCCCGACCGGCCAACAGTATTGTAAAAGGTTATCAGGAAGAAAATGCTAAGCCCTAAATATCAGCCTGAAGCCCGACCGGCCAACAGTATTGTAAAAGGTTATCGGGGAGAAAATGCTAAGTCCTAAATGTCAGCCTGTAGCCCGACCGGCCAACAGTATTGTAAAAGGTTATCTGGAAGAAAACTGCTAAGTCCTAAAAGTTGACCTGAAGCCCGACCGGTTATCAACGTCATAAAAAGATAGCCTAGGATTGAACTGAAGCCCGACCGGCTATCAAGTTGTAAGAGATTATCTGAAGCAAGAATGTGTCAAGTCCTAAAATTTGGTATGAAGCCCGAATGGCTGAGTACCAGGGGGAAGGGGTTTTTTCCTTAAATCATCAGAACTTTCTAATGCCCGAACGGCGATCAACGACGTTAGGATTGTTTGAGCAAGAAATAAGTTGGGAAATTGGTTAAGTCCTTCAAAATAGGCCGAATCCCGAATGGCGAGTAAATCATGCATTAAAAACAGAAAAGACAGTACGCCAAGTTTCAGGCAAAAAGGGATATATATTCATCGGTACTACTGACCGGGAAATACAGGCTAGGAAAAAAGGAAATTAAAACAAGAATTACAATACATATGAATTATTGATCGTGGGCCATTTCATCTCCCTCTTCATCTTCATCCTCATCATCATCAGACGGGGGTTCAGGCTCTTTTCCCGCAGCTCGATCAGCTTCCCGTTGTTGGGCTCGCAGAAATTTCTCAAACTGCGCCTGGATAATATCATCTGAGGGGAGATCAGAAGCCTGAACCGGCCTCCCCAATTGAGTTTGAAGCTGAGTGACGAAGGGACGCAGCAAGACCTGGCCAATTTTGCCATAAAGATCGGAGACAATGGAATCATTCCATTTTTTGGCCTCCGGGTCCTTATCCAAGAGGGCCACCCCTGCCGATAGCCGGCCGGCGCCTTTGGGAAAACCCTTTAAATACGCCCCAAAGGCGAACGGGATCTGGGCCCTTGCGTGTTCATCCTTGATGATGGAGAATTCATCAGAGGATTTAAACGTATCCCGGACGGCGGACAGATCCACGCTCACTTCATAAGGACCGTCCGGGATGCTGGATGGCATCTCTTCAAATTTGACCTGGGCAGCCTCAGCGGCAAGGACCTTCGCCTGGGAAGCTGCAAGTTGGACCCGGAGGGTACCAAGTTCAGCGTCCAGCCTCTGCTTTTCCTCCGCAAAGGCTTTCCGTTCGGCCTCCAGAGAGGCGATGGCAGCAGCAGCATGTTGCTCAGCAGAAGACTGGGCAACGATCAGTCCCCGCTCCTTGGCCAGGCGGGCCTCCCGCATCTGAAGGGTGTACAAACCCATCTACAGAATGTCGTTCGAGGATTAGTACTGGTTACGGGGAATAAAGTAAAGACAAAACACAAGAGACAACGTACCTTCAGAGCGGTCAGAGCCAAACATTCCTCAGATTGCTCGACCGGCAACTGAGGGAGGGAAAAGTTGTTAAACCAGGAGGAGGTAGACCAGATCTGGCTCGCAGTAGATCCAGCCCTCTCTAAAACCTCGTGAACAGGGTCGGATAGGGAGATCCGTTCGACCTGACCCGTAATGTGGTCGGTATGTGTCTCACCAGCATTCGAGGATTCCCCCCGAACGGAGTCGAAATGCTGGGAAAATTGGTGCAGTTGGTCAGAACCAAACCGATCATCAAGCAGCATGGCCTCTATTTGATCTTGGTGGACCTGCTGAATTGGCTGAGGTTCTGGGAGCGATTGAGAAGGGGCAGCCTCCTGAGCGGGAACGATGGTGGGAGTAGGTTGGGGGTTCTTCCGGGATTTTTTCCGTTTTCCGCCCCCACCGGCTGCGATGACTCTGCTATCATCCATGGGAAGATCTGGGTTGGGTGCTGAAAAAAGGCAAAGAACAATGTTAGTATCGAGCGGCCCTAGCGTGTGGGAAACTAAATAAAAAAGAATAAAGGAACGTTTCTCGCACGGGAAGGACCGCCCGGACCAAGGCACTTGGTTTATCAAAACAAGTAAACCCAAGAGAACGGGCAGTACCTATCCCGGCTGTTATAAGTCGTTCGGGGGTTAGATAATTCATGATGTCCATGCATTTATCCTTCTCCACAGCGAGCACGTCCTTGTAGATTTCTTCAGTCAGGACAGGATCAGGGGTCTTGCGGGGAAAAGCATTCCACTTGCGGGGAATCAGACCGTCCGGGATGGACACGAAGAAAAACCGGTCTTTCCACCCTTTGATCGAAGTTGGGTTTCCTTTGAACAGGATGTGTCCCGTTCGGGCACTAGTGGCCAGATAGCCGTGGGTTTGTTGGGGGGCTACTTTGAAAAACTGGTGGAAGAGTTCTAAGGTTGGTCGGGCGCCGGCATCTTTGCAACGACAAATGAAACCCGTCATTGCCCGATAAGAGTTCGGCATAATCTGGGCCGGTACAATTTCGTAGAAATTGAAGAAAGAAATAAAGAAAGGGTGTAGCGGAAATCTAAGGCCGGCCCTAATTGAGTCAAAGTGGACTATGGTCATTCCGGGCCTATGACGCATCGGATGAAGCCCGGCTTGCAAACGGAAATCCACCGGGTCAGGGATAAGGGCCGGGATTTCGGCCCTATTGTGAGAGGTCAATTTTTGCCTCCTCTCCCTAATCAATTTTAGGTCAAGAGTATGGCGAGGAACATCGTTGGGACGTCCGGCCGCCATGGAGGCCAATTCGTCCTCAGACTTGGTGTCGTCAGAATCCTCACTAGAGGAAGAAGAAGTGCTAGGGAGGTCCTCCGCCTCAGCCCTGGTATTCGTCGCCATCTCGGTAGAAACACCGGCAAACGGAACTGGGATGGCGTCTATCATGGTGTTGTCACGGTCATCCCCGTGAGAGGCCATCTCCGAATCAGAAGAATGCTCTGTGAGGCTCATCTCGATCGAAGCCAGAAATGAAGGTGGGGAATCCAAGGTTGGGAAGTTACCTGAGCAAGGAAAGCAGAGGGAAATTTGCAGAGAAAACAACGAAGGCCAAGGAATTGCAGAGTCGAAAACCCGGAATTGAGGAATTAAGGGTTAATTTATAGCCTTGAAACCGCCGTGTCGAGAGCCAATCAGAGAGCGACACATCACTACGGGCATTTAAGCTAGACACGCGTCTAATGAAAAGACTAAACGACGGTTATCATGATGAATATGGGGAAATGAAGCGGCAGCCGTCAAATCGCAGCATGGGGAACTGGCTACTTCTGTACCCCGATCGCCATTCGGGGTATTGTGACATTGGTATACTTCCTGATGCACTCACTTCGTTCGAGACATCGGAAGTGGGGGACTTGTGTTGGGATATTGACCTAGAGGCCCAATACCCAGATCGAGAAGGCCCAAGATATTCGGCCCAAGTAACAGGCCCATCACTCTATGATGAGAAGATCCAGTAAGGAGACATACCGAACGGGGTTCGGCCCAAATAAAGGTTGGCCCAATAAGAAGACATACCGAACGAGGTTCGGACTATTTACTATACCTGGGCCAAGTTGACAGCTTCTTCAGTATGGACCAACATCCCGTTCGAGCAACGGCCAACCAGCAAGTGGCCAGGTGCAGTTAATGTCAGACTGTGACATCAGCAAGTGGAAGCATGGATGACCAAGTCGGTGGAACAACGGCCAATCAGCAAGAGGCAGCCCATGCTCTCCATTAGTATAAATAGAAGGTTTCAAGTCATTGTAAGGGTTAGCATTTCAATACTCAAGCTCTAGAATAGCATCTTTTGCTCTTATTTCTTGTATTAAGGCATAGTTTCCGACTTATCGATCGGGAAATCCCTTGTAATCAGATTGGTTAATTAATACAAGTGAGCTTTCGAGTTTTAGTTAGTTCAGATCTAATATTTTCTCGTACACCTTGATTCTGGGTCATTCCTGATATATCCAAAGTTCATGTTGGGCTTTCGGATCTACGGGACTTACCCTCAACATATCCTAATTAGAATGTTAAAATCACCATATATGATAGTGAGGGTGGAGTGCAAAAAAAGTGCTTCACCCCTTTGACTGGAGTTGGTCAAACTGATATAGATCAAGGTCAGCTCCTTGAACATTATAACTTATACTTCAACTACTGGATGGAAAAAAGCCTTCATCTAACATCCAGAAATCAAACAGCTCTCCTTCTTCTACTCTGTCTCTCCACCATTGATCATCCATGCATGTTCTGCATTTACCAAATTAATTAGACTTAAATCCATTTATTATCTACACAAATTCTATACCAATAATGTGTTATACTCCCTCTGTCCATATATAATTGTCTCATTTTTTCATTTTTGGATGTATCTCAATTCTTGTTTCATATCATATTTTGTAACATTTGTGTGGTTCTAATTCATTCTTACTTCATTTTCACGAAAAAATTGCAACTCGTAGGACCAAATCATAGCTCCTTTCCAAAATTATAACCTCCTTGTTTTACTTTCATCCATGTCACACATGTACTCCTATTTTAACTCCTATTTTAAGAAACTCAATTATTAGTTTCCAAATTTGCCCCTTCAGCTTGAGTAAATTGAGTTTGAAATTCCCCAGTTTAGGGGACGTACGTCCCCAACTGGAGACGCATTCCCCCTACTTCAGGGGACTTACGCCCCCAACTGGAGACGCTTTCCCCCTACTTCAGGGGACGTACGTCCCCAACTGTTTATTTATTGTCACTTATTGTCTATTTATTGTCTATTTAATGTCTACTATTACGTATCAGGGGATGTACGTCCCCAAATGGAGACGTTTTTCCCCTACTTCAGGGGACGTACGTTCCCAACTGGAGATGCTTTCTCCCTACTTCAGGGGATGTACGTCCCCAACTGTCTATTTATTGTCTACTTATTGTCTATTTAATGTCTACTATTACGTAATATTGTACAATCACGCTAAGGGTATTATGGTCAAATACATTCATCTTTGGTCCTACGGTGGTATGTGGTCCTACTTTTGGAAACTTATTAGCTTTTATTCTTATTAGGGTAATTATCTCTATTTCCACTTTATTAACTCATTATCAATCACATAATTTTATTTTTCTTGAAAACTACGTCACTTCCTTCCATCCCAATATTAGGGGTAGAGGGTCGAAGGGAGTAAAACCTAATTAAACGCCATTATCATTTTGTTTTCTTTTGCAGTTATTTTTATTTGAATGTGTTCGTGTTTGAATGTGTTTTTATTTGACTTTGTTTGTGTCGCAAATAAAATAAAAACAATAAGAATTGATTAGATTTTAAAAGATAGTACGTACTAAACTAGATTATATGTATAGTACGTAGAAAAATACATTTAGTCTACTTACTTAGTAGCAAAACAATATGTATTTGACTATATTTGTGACAAATATCTTACTATATTTGAGACACAAACAAAGTCAAATACATATCTTGTGCAGTTTATATGTATGATCTACTTACTATATGTATTTTACTACTTACTGAGAGATAGTTCTAATACTAAACTAGACCATACTCAATAGTAAGTACTAAAATACATATAGTACATAGTAACATACTTATGATATTAGAGGGAAAATAAAAACAATATCATACCTAGTCTTATACATCATTTTATTTAGACAAATTTAACATAAGTATTTATAAAATTAATAAACATATACTATCCTCCGTTCCATAAAAGTTGCAACAGTTTGACTTTCACGTTTGCCAACGCGCAACTTTGACTGTAATTATATTTATTTACGTATTAGTAAACATTAAAAAAAGTTAATATATTGGAAATTTACACTAATACAAATTTATTAATATTTTATACATAATATTTTTATTATATATATTATTAGAAAATCGTAGTCAAAGTAAGGTGTGTGAATAGTGCAGAAATTTCAATGTTGCAACTTTTATAGAACGGAGGAAGTATATCTATAAAAAATCAAAGATTGTTAAATAAAAAGGGACCGATGTACTGCTACTTACTATAGGTAGTATTACGTATAATAAGTACAAGTGTACAACGCTTTCTTTTCTATAGGTTGAAATAAATTTAAATTCTCTATTAATTAATGAGAAAATTAAAATTTTCAGAATTGAAAATTTAGGATGAGACGAAATTGATTTTATTTTTCAATAGTAATTTGATCAAATTAATTAGTGTAATGACTTTGACTTACTTAATACTTCGTCTGCAGATAAGTGTTTAGAAGGATCTTTGCAGATCATCTTTCTCAGCAGATCTTTCGCGTCCGGAGAAACTGACCGGAATAACTTCGTGGGAAATACCAAATTTGCCCTCAAAACTGCCTTGAACGTCTCCGCCGTAGTCTCGCCCCGGAACGGCGGAACTCCGGCCAGCATCATGTACAGAATCACGCCGGCACTCCACACGTCAACTTTCTCGTCATACTCCCGGCGCATCAAAATCTCCGGTGCCACGTAGTAAGGCGTCCCCACAAACTCCGACATCCGGCCGCCTCTGAACACGGCGGCGTACCCGAAGTCGGCGAGCTTCAGATTCCCCATCGAGTCGAACAGCACGTTGTCGAGTTTCACATCACGGTGGGCGATCCCGGCGTGGTGGCAGCAGCTGATCGCCGACGTGAGCTGCCGGAAAATCTTAGCCGCACAGGGCTCCGGCATTGCCCCCCGCGAGACGCGCTCGTAGAGGTCTTCTCCGTCGCAGAGCTCGGTGATGAGGTGGACAGAATCCTCGTCCTCGTACACCTTGAAGAGGCGGAGAATGTTGGGGGCGCCGGCGAGCTGCATGAGAATCTTAGGCTCCTGCTCCAAGAAACGGCGGTCGGCGAGAAGGCTCTTCTTGATGGATTTGCAGGCGAAGAAATCGCCGGTGGACGGCGAGAAGCAGCGGTACACCGTCGCGAAATTTCCGCGGCCAATCTCTTCGCGGAGTTGGTAATCGGCGGCGAGAGTCCCACACATTTGAGTCCTCTGTTTCTTGAATGAAGTCGGTGGCGATGATTAGAGAAGCAGTTTAATCTAATACGGATTTAACGAAAACAAACGGCAGTACTAAATTAGTCGTGCCCGGATTAGGTATCGGTCTTAATATATACGGAGTACTTCGTATGTTGTTCTTTGGACCGGGCCGCCGAACAACCCAATTATAATTTCATTGATTTTAATTTCTATTGCGGACTACACTTTTTACTACTCCGTAGTTTCTAGCTTTAGGTTTTAATTAATGGAATTTTTGTTATGGATAATTATTCCCTTTTAATGGGTTATTCCTGGAATATTACAAAATTAGGGTTAATTTTCAAAAAATGTGACCTCTTTTACATTTGGACAAAAATGTAATTAAGAAAATCATATTCATGTCATTGTCGAATTTTAATATCACTAGTGTCACCGTAGATCGATTCATGTTAACCGATCCCAAAATCTTTTGGGATTAAGGCTTGGGTGTTGTTGTAGTGTCACTGTAGCCACCGCCGTGTCACTATAGCCACCGTCTGTGATACTGTAGCCACCACTTATGTCACTCTGATCGTTTTCGTTTAGTGATGTGGCCCACTTTAGTCACTGACCACCACCCGTCGGCCGCCATAACGGCGGCTGTCACCGCAACACCCCACCTTCCTCCCCACCACCTTCACCACAGCCATGCACTAGCCCCATCACCCCAGCCCTGCCCGCATCACCCCAGCCCTACCCTCATCATTCTAGCCCTGCCCTACCCCATTAGCCTAGCCACGCCCCACCCCCACAAGCCCTTCCCCACACCATTAGACCTACCGCATGCCCTCAGCCCCAACCCCAAATGGGAGTCCCCAACCTAAATTGCACGCCGTCAAAACCTAGCAATCGGATAGGTGAAGATTGACGGGAACAGTTTACTAGAAGTAGATGTAGAGCTCATGAGAAGAGAGGAAGTAACTTTGGTGATGGAGGTGCGACAGTAGAACGGTGGCGATGATGGAGGCGCTGCGGCGATAACTTGCGGTGATGGTGGTTCGGCTCCGATGTGCGGCGATGGAGGTGCGATCTGGCTTGCCGTGATGAAGGTGCGGCTCTGGTTTACAACGATGGAGGTTTGGCTATCTTGTGTAGATCATGAATGGCGAGATCTCCGATTCCGCAGAGTTGTGCGGAGAAAAAAAGTGTGGAAAGAGGGGCACGTATACTCGGTCACTATTTTTGGAAAAAAGATAAAGTGGTAATGTTTAAGCAAATTTTTGATAAGCTAAAACTAAATAAAATGGAAATTGTATAATGATCGGTGTTGGAGCAAGAATTTGACGGTATATGTGGCATTAAAGAGGGTTGACCGCAGAAGTTAATGATACGTCCATGAGGCTTAATGATGACTATTATAATGGATTTGTAGTTATTATTGTAATTAGTAACGTAATTAAGGCTGAAGGTTACTCAATTTGCGTTGGTCGGCATTAATGACGAGTTGTGAAACCGTCGGGTCAGAACAGCCAAACCGTGTGTAACGGACAACTAGGCCATTAATTACTCTTTCTATAAATAGAGTATCCCCCATTGTAATCCATGGCTTCACATTCGAACATCACATTGAAATACACTCTTACTCGCTCACTTGTCATCTTCCTTATTATTCTTGTACGAGACCCTTCTTCATATCATTTTATTTTTTAATTAGTTTTAGCATATCAAAAAATTGCTTAAACAATTTGGCGCCCACCGTGGGGCATCGTGCAAGAGAATGATCATAGAACATGGCTGGCGACAATCCTTTGTTGATGGAATTCCATGCGCAGCTAGAGTCGGCAAAGGAAGAGATCCGGCGAGAGGTGGCGGAACGAATGGCCCACCTTCAACGGGAGAATGATCTGCTCCGATTCCAAGTTCACTCAACGGTGTCAATCGCTTCTAATTCAAGAGGTAACCGGAGCAGCGACATCATGCCCGTCGTTACGCGGTCGTTGTTGGGCTCCATTCCAGCAATAACAGAATCACCCATTATCGTTACTGAACCCGTCTCCCTCACATTGGGCCTTTCACCCGTTGGGGATTCACAACCCACTGTCATTTCTCAGGTCATACCCTATACACCTCTCGTCCCTGAGATAACTCCCGCGCCCAGCATACCAACTTGTTTCTTTCCGGAGCCCTTTCGTCCTAGACCAAGAATGATAGGCCTGCAGTCAGCCACTCAAAGCGTAACGATGGCTTTCGTCGTGTCAACCCCAACAGAACCTTCCATCCCTCACTATTGAAGCAGGACTCAAGGAGAACCCGATCCGTCCAGCTTTGTGCAAAACCGCAGACGGAGTATCTCTGGTGACCTACTACCTGATGTTCAGATAAAACGACCGCGTAGACCAGTCACTTCGACGGGTCCAAATCATGGGGGACGACGTCCAGAAGTCATATTCATCCCTTCACCAACCCGGGCCGAAATGACTCATATGGCAGGACGAACGATTTCAACAGTAGAACTACTCCAACCAGTCTGAAGATCCAATTGGTGAAGATTTTAAAGCCTAAATCTTTTTTGTCATTAAAGCGCAAAACGTTTTTTAAGTAGATTAAAATATTATAATTAAGAATTCATAAATAATTTTTACATTTTTGAGTTAATTTTTTTAAAAAAATCTAAAACACCGGATTCCTTACTATATATTGTTCTATATAATAAACACGAGTTATGAAATGCTACATGTCACTCTCTTATTGTTTTGACATAATAAATATTAACATTACTTTAATTTTACAAACATTGTCTAGCTCATCATATGATGCAAATGCTCATATAATATTAAAAACAATTCATACTCTTACATTACAACATCTAAATAATTTGTAACATCTACATGATATGTTTAACTATTGATAGGATTGTGCATTAAATCATATTGTAAAATATATTTCAAGCAATACTTTAATTATTATATGCATAATCACATCTAGTTTATACCGTGAATAAAGACATGATGATATGAAAATATAATAACACTTTTATTATTTTTTGATTATGAACTATTGCAAGAATATCAATAATGTACTGCCATCGTCCCAACGAAATCCAACGAAGCGTGCCCGCAACGGGGATAGACTGAGATTGCTACACATGTTGCGGCTGAAATATTGTGGTTGCCTTCTGTAGCCCAACCGCATCGGGCCGCAATGGAGGTGCGGTTTCAATTCACAAGGAAAATCTACTACGTAACCCAACGAAACCATAAGGTGGCCGCAACGGTGCCATATCGAATCGTATCAAGACATCAACACTAAATTATTTTTTTATTTCGTTCGAACGTAAAACTAAATTACACTGCACGGCCTCATAGCAGCAACCGCAGTGACCACAATCGCAATAAAAACATTGATATAGACTAAAGAGTAAATATATGATATATGGTGATGGATAATTTAATATATAGTCATTTGACATATAAAAATTTATTATTGTTTATGGTTAGATAATAGTAAAAATGGCTTATATTAAACACTTGTATCTTATGAATGATTCACAAATCAATGCGCTGCTATTGGGCATTGCCTCGGGTTTTATACTAGTTTGTACATAATTGTATGTACACACGGATAATATGTGCAAAATGCGTACAAATTTGGTGTAGAGAAAGTTTGTTTAATAAAATTTGTTGAAAAATTATAAAGGTACACACTTTTTTGTGTACACACTTTTTACACATGTCTGTGTAATGTTTTTTTTTATGTCTGTACAGACATAACGTATTTTAAAAACACGTTATGTCTGTACAGACATAAAAAAAACCTTACACAGACATGTGTAAAAAGTGTGTACACAAAAAGTGTGTGTACCCCAAGTCAAACTCAAATTTGTTTCAACCAACAAACATAGGGGGGTGTATTGTATCGGGATTTAGTGGAAAATTTTTAGAAGTCCATGGATTTTAGAAATCCGGGTGTATTCAATTAGGATTTATAAAAGTCCATCAAAGTGCATGTGTATTCAATTAGGATTTTTAAAAGTCAATAAAAGGTTGGGTGTATTCAAAATATTAACAAATCTCGTGGAATTATAAAATAGTGGATTCTCGTGGATTTTATAACCTCTCATATATATACTCCTTCCCGTCAATTGTCTCGTGCTCCCCCAAGAGATTTCACGGGACTTTCTTCTGCAGGGTTTTGCCGCCTCCTCCCCAAGAACACCTCTCCAGGTAAATTATTTTTCTCTCGCCCACCTCTCATATTTTGCAATCAGATACACAGAGCTTCGCAGCAGACCAACATCATGAATACACTTATGCACATAAAACAATACGAAAAAGAACAATTTCAAGCTCTGAAGATAACAAAAAATAATTTTTATGTGTATGAATTCCAATTTATAATCCAAAATCTATGTATGAATTCCATTATGTGCGGTTATCATTTCTGGCATTCCATTAATTTTTAATTTTTTCAATGTCGGCCGTATTGAAAGTGGCATATTGATTTCAATTTTAATTTTGCTGTCAATAACCTTGGATGCATCCACTTTAATTTTTAAGAACGTCTATTGCTTGCGGAGCAGGTGATATTGCTTTCAATTAAAGTAACATATTGATTTCAGAATTAATCAGCATCCCAAGTTATTAATTTTTAATTTTTTTCAATGTTGGCCGTTTTTAAGTCCTCGTTGCTGCGCCTGAGGATGCAGTTCAGTGTAAAATAACAGAACAATATGTGTTATACAGAGTATTTTTACTTTGCTATTATTAGTAGTAGTTCTTCTTTTCTATTAGTCACTGTAAGAGGTTTAGAATTTCTCTGAAACCCTCCCACTAGGACTATTGGAGCTAGCATGGATATATGTGCCCTCTTCATTAATAATATCATCAATAACTTTGGGCTAGAATATGCCCTGCAGAGTGCACCCAAGACTGCAAGAAGTTTATTGAAATTATAATACTCCGTATGAACTACTAAAGGTAGATTTTAAATCTCTAATATCTCCTGACATGGTTTGGTTCTGTTTCCATTACACCTCATACTATTCTACTTTTGTGCTTGGTTTTGTGGATGTTGGCAACAGACATCTGGGGATTATTCTCACACTCTCTGTTCTTCATATCATCAAAGATTGTATACAGAGATCCAAATGTTCTTTATGACCATTTAAAATCGTTCTTATGTGCCTTTTAGCATTTAGAAATGGAGTTCCTATACATTTCCTGTATTATCTACAATTACATTTGGAGTCAATTCCTTGGAGTCTTGAATTGGTTTGGTACCACTTTGTCTTTACTAGGCCAACAACGTTCTTTATTTTTATTTCTTGTAATCCTCTTCTTCTCCCAAGCACACACTGATATTCGTAACAGTTTGGTATCAATGCCACTCCACTCATTTATTTGTTAGATTTGTTGTTTGTGCATAGTGGTCTTTTTTTTTAACACAATCATATAGATGGGAGATTCACAAGGTAATTCCAAACGGAAGGATTATAAGACTTGGACTATAGAAGAAAGCAACACTTTGCTTGAAGTTATGGTTGAAGGTGCCAAACTTGGGTGGCGTGATATTAATGGCGTTATAAGGAAACAAATGGTAGAGACCAGACTTCTTCCTATGCTTAAGGAAAAACTTGGTCATGAAATAGCTCTTAACCACTACCAAAGCAGAGTAAGATGGTTCAAAAAACAGTATTCTAATTATGCTCAACTTATGCGTCATAATTCTGGCTTTGGATGGGATCCAATCACAAAGAAATTCACGGCAGCTGATGAAGTGTGGTCTGACTATCTGAAGGTTAGCTGAGTTTTTTGCTTCATATCACTTATAGAAGTTCTTAAATGGTTATGGTCATTATCACAATTGTGTCGTTTTATTGTATCAGTCACATTCATCACATGGACACCTTCGAACAAACACATTTTCAGACTACGAACACTTGAGAGCTGCGGTAGGAAATGGAACAGCAACAGGAATGGGCTCGATTGCTTTAGGTGAAACTACAGAGGCTACAACACTGGGAGCACAAGAGGATGAAATTGGTGGCATAGACGGACTATGTTTTGACCCAGATACCAACACTTTCATACAAAGTGAAAGTATGTCATCACCCCAACAAACCTCTCCACTCTACTCACGAAATCCAGATCAACGTACAAATATAGGGATTCCATCTTCATCAAATAAAGCACATGGAAAGAGGAGTAGGACTGATTTGGAAGGTACTAATAACATCGTAAAGGGAGGTAATAGTCAAGATGCAGTTCTCGAGAACTTATCAAGTGGATTTGGTAAAATTGTGCAAAGTTTTGATAAAATTTGTTATTTAATGGAGAAGAGAGAATCAAGGGACACTGATCTTTTGGATGCTATGAAGGAGACTCCTGGATTGACAGACGAGGACTGCTTTAAAGCTCTTGATTTGCTGAATACAAAAGCAAAGCAGGATTTCTTTTTAAGGATGACTCCTGAACAACGTTATGAGTGGATCATTCGTCTAGATTAGGTGAATCTCCACTAGGGATATCCAATAAAAATAGGTCATATTTGAGTATTTACTTTATCTATTGTTGGAGTGATTTAGTTTTATATGGATTGTAACATGATATGGTCTATTTGACTAGTCTTATGGATTATCCTTTAGATTTTTTTATTTTACAATTTATCATATTTTACCTTTTAAATTAAGTGCTTTTTTTCTCTTCTATTAGCAATGTGTGAAACAGATTTATATGGAGCAGATGAAGATGAGGTTGAGTTTTATGAGGCTCTTAAGATATTGCTAATCGCAATAGAAGCAGTAACTTACATGATATATAATCTCGTTTCAAGAATCAATGATGAACCCATTAGACGCCCATTGACTCGCCGACCTGTGATGGCTAACGGGATTAAATATACGGATGAAATAATGGCCGATGACCCTAAAACATTTAGAGATGTGTACCGAATGTATCCTGATATTTTTCAAAGATTATGTTGTATCCTAAAAAATAAAACGCCTCTAGAAGATACACGATATATTTGTGTTGAAGAAATGGTTGCAACATTTTTACTTATCGTCGGCCAAAACAACCGCTATAGTCAACCAAGGATGATATTTAAGCGGTCACACTTCACCATTAGCAGAAGCTTCAACAAAGTATTGAAAGCGTTGAATACGATAGCTCCAGAATTTATGGCCAAACCGGAATCCGTACCACATGTCATCAGAGAGAGTACAAGGTTTTATCCCCACTTTAAGGGGAGTAATTCAACATTTTATTGATGAATAATAGTTTAGTTTTACACGATTAAGGACAATTAATTAATTGTTTTGGTATACTTTCTTTTCCTACGGTTAGGATTGCATCGGAGCAATAGATGACACTCACATTCCTGCAACAGTAGCTGGACGAGAAGTGAATAGCTATCGAAATCGTCATGGGACTATATCTCAAAATGTATTAGCTGCTTGCAACTTTGATTTACAATTCATATATGTGCTTAGCGGTTGGGAAGGTTCTGCTCATGATTCAAAAGTGTTAAATGATGCAATTTCAAGGCCAAATGGTCTTAAAGTGCCACCAGGTACACTTTAACATGTTTATACTTTATATAAATCTGTGATTACCGATTACTTATTGTACCACATAATAGACTAATGTATATTTACAAATCTTTGATTACCCAATTACTTATTGTACAATATAATTGTGTAATGATTTAATGCTCAGGTAAATATTATTTGGGGGATTGTGGGTTTCCAAATCGGCGTCAATTTTTAGCTCCATTTCGAGGTACTCGATATCATCTTAAGGATTTTGGTGGTGAAGGAAATCATCCTGTCAATGCCGTTGAGCTATTCAATCTTCGTCATGCTTCTTTAAGGAATGTGATTGAACGGATATTTGGAATATTTAAGTCACGCTTCACGGTCTTCAAAACAGCACCTCCATTCTCTTATAAAACACAAGCAGAACTAGTTTTGGCATGTGCAGGAGTACATAATTTTCTTCGGCGTGAATGTCGATCTGATGAGTTTCCTCCAGACCCAGAAGAAGACCCACATAGCGATAACGAGGATAATTTTGAATGGGATGATTTTCAGACACAAGATCAACAGAGGGCAAAAGCCAATGAATGGAGAATGAATCTTGCTACTCAAATGTGGGCGGTTGTAGAAAATGAATAATTTTGATTCATAGTTGAATTGGACAAGACATTTGTTTCAATTTTGAGCATTGATGACATTTTTTATGTGGTTTAAAGCTTATACTGGAATGTTTTATTTGTCATATTTTTTTAGAGAACATTGACTATTATATTTGTCATATTTTTTATTTGCTTTCATAGACTTTAATATGAATGACCTAGTAGGATGAATGTTTGATCTTTGTGCATTTTATGATTCTAGAAATCTGGTCTTGTCTATTAAAAAGTCTATGGATTGTTGAAATTCATAGAAGCCATTCATATAAAAGTCATTCATTTGAAAAGTCCACGAATTAAAAAGTCCACGGATTTAAAAAGTCCACGGATTTAAAAAGTCCTTGGACTTTTTTAAAAATACACGGATTAAAAGTCAATGGATTTAAAAGTACACGGATTAAAAGTTCACGAAATTAAAAGTCCATGGACTTTTTTAGAAATCCACGGATTAAAAAATATTCACCTGCAGATACAATAATACAACCCCATAATAAAACCCTTTCCTCCAGCCGTCCAGCGGCCGCAAGTCTTAACAGCAGATGGACTTGAACTTCGCGTAGCTGACGATATCATCATTTCATCGCCATTATCATCCAATCGACGCCGGGAAGTTTCGATAGAGGGAAACCCGGGATCAGGGTACAATTACACAACATGTATATTTACTCAGGCAAAAGATAAAGATACGGAGCTGGTTTTCGAGCAAATCTTGGGAGCTTTTCCAAACCCTAGCACAGCCGGAGCACCGGCGCCTGGTCTCCGCTTTCCTTCAATAAGTGCGATATTCCTCCTCCGGGAGGAGCAAACAGTGAGAGAAGATGAGGATTATGATAAAGGGTGGAGTATGGAAGAACACGGAGGACGAGATCCTCAAGGCTGCGGTCATGAAGTACGGCAAGAACCAGTGGGCCCGTATCTCCTCCCTTCTTGTTCGTAAGTCCGCCAAGCAGTGCAAAGCTCGTTGGTATGAGTGGCTCGATCCTTCCATCAAAAAGGCAAGTTTTTTTTATTCTTAGAAATGTGTATATTAGTTCACCTAGACATACCGCCTATGTTATCTTATACTGTAAAACTCATAGGAGGAATGGGTATTAATGGGAATGCGTTGACCATACCACAGATTTTTAGCTGAATATATAAATAAATATGATGGGAATAATGACAACAGTTCGCCAAGTATGTTAGGGTGGTTTGTCAAATGCTACGTTTCTACATTTCCTTTCCCAATGCACTTCTTGGCACATTCTATTGTGACTATCCCACTATGTATGACATCTCCAGGCATTGTATTTAATTGAGCTATTTGCATCGCAACACCTAGTCTTCTTCACATAAGTAATGTTTACTTGTAACTCTTTCTGTTGAACTACCTAGATTCTGGAACTGACCTATCACTGTTGATGACATTGGCAGACTGAGTGGACTAGAGAAGAAGATGAGAAGCTGCTTCACCTTGCAAAGCTTATGCCCACACAGTGGAGAACCATTGCTCCTATTGTGGGGCGTACACCATCACAGTGCTTGGAACGCTATGAGAAGCTCCTTGATGCAGCGTGTGCCAAGGATGAGAACTATGATGCTAATGATGATCCAAGGAAACTGCGGCCAGGAGAGATTGATCCAAATCCAGAATCGAAGCCTGCTCGTCCTGATCCTGTTGATATGGATGAAGATGAGAAAGAGATGCTTTCTGAAGCACGTGCACGGCTTGCCAACACAAGAGGCAAGAAAGCCAAAAGGAAAGCCAGGGAGAAACAACTTGAAGAGGCTAGGAGGTTAGCGTCTTTACAAAAGAGGAGAGAGTTGAAGGCAGCTGGAATTGATGCTCGACATCGAAAGAGAAAGAGGAGGGGCATTGACTATAATGCTGAGATTCCCTTTGAGAAGAAACCTCCTCCAGGTTTTTATGACATTGCTGATGAAAACCGTCCAGTGGAACAACCTAAGTTCCCAACAACTATTGAAGAACTTGAAGGTGAAAGACGAATAGATAAGGAGGCGCGTCTGAGAAAGCAGGATATTGCTAGGAATAAGATTGCTCAAAGGCAGGATGCCCCATCAGCCATACTCCATGCCAACAAGCTTAATGATCCAGAAACAGTGAGGAAGAGGACTAAACTGAATCTTCCTGCTCCACAGATTTCAGACCAAGAATTGGAGGCGATTGCTAAAATTGGCATTGCGAGTGACCTCATTGGGAGCGAGGAACTCACAGAAGGGAATGCTGCCACACGTGCCCTCGTTGCAAGTTATGCCCAAACTCCAAGGCAGGGAATGACTCCACTAAGAACACCACAAAGAACACCTGCAAACAAGCAGGATGCTATAATGATGGAAGCCGAAAACCAAAGAAGATTGAGTCACTCCCAAACACCACTACTGGGAGGAGAGAACCCAATGTTGCATCCATCGGATTTTTCTGGTGTGACTCCTAAAAAAAGGGAGATTCATACGCCAAACCCCCTCTTGACTCCTTCAGCAACTCCAGGGGGGGCTGGTCTTACTCCTAGAACTGGCATGACCCCTTCAAGGGATGGATATTCTTTTGGCATGACCCCTAAAGGGACTCCAATGAGGGATGAACTCCACATTAATGAAGAAATGGATATGCATGATGGGACAAAAGTTGGGCGTTCAGATTCCAGACAGGAATTGCGTGCCGGTTTAAAAAGCCTACCACTTCCCAAGAATGAATACCAGATTGTCATGCAACCTCTTCCTGAAGAGAGTGAGGAACCGGAAGAGAAGGTTGAAGAGGATATGTCTGACAGGGTTGCAAGAGAGAAGGCTGAAGAAGATGCAAGACAACAAGCATTACTAAAGAAAAGGTCAAAAGTGTTGCAGAGGGGTCTCCCAAGACCACCTCCTGCTTCGTTGGAGCTAATTAGGAATTCTTTAATAAGATCTGATGAAGATAAGAGCTCCTTTGCTCCTCCTACAGCAATTGAGCTGGCTGATGAGATGATAAGAAAAGAGCTTCTATCTTTGTTAGAGCATGATAACGTGAAGTACCCAGTTGATGAGAAACCTGATAAGGAGAAGAAAAAAGGATCCAAAAGAAAATCAGTTATTGTGCCCATTATTGATGATTTTGATGAAGATGAGCTCAAAGAGGTACGTCTTTTGTTATATGATATGTAGATTTTTTTATTCTTCTTCAATCTTTGGTAATATTTTGTTTATTTATGAATTACGTTGTGGTAGCTAACAAAATATTTATGCAAGGAAAAATGAGTTTTGGGCATTCCATCATCATTTTGATGTGTGTTTTATGTATCTTCTATTAATACGTGTGTACCGATTTGACGTATTTGGATAATGTTAACATTTCACCCATGCATAGCATTTTTTTCGTTTCGAAACTTGAAGTGGAATAGTCAGCTGTGAAAGATTTGTTTCTTGCTTAATGAAACTTTTGTATAATCTAAGAGCTTCATTCAAGTGTTATTCTTTACCTATATTTAAGGGGTATTTAAACTAAGAAGTTCAAAGGTTAGTTGTGTTTAAAGGTTGGTTGGTCTAAGGAGCTTCTAAGACTGGGCCACTAGATGAAACTCACGCTTCTGTGTTGGAGTTCTGAGTTATTGTAATATTCTTATAGCATTCCTTGTTTAGTATCATTTTATGGATAATCAAGGTACTACATGTAGTCACCAGTAGGCTTTAAGTAGTCAGGCGTGCACACAGATGCAACCTGAATTGGATATTCCTTAATTTGACAAATAACACATGTTTAGTAATTTAGTATGGTTACTTGTTACCTTGGGTAGATCAATATAAAATTTCATCACCGGATAAGTTACGCACTTCGGCATTGTATTTCAATTGAACTCCATTGGTGTTTTTAAATTATCAGTGCTTCTAGTCCCTAAGGCAAACATTCGATTTCAAATTAGTTTCTCAGATACGCATGTGAGCACATTCCTCCTCTTTTTATTTTCCACGGTGGCCATTTCATTTCCCTTAGTGATGGATTCCATGAAAAATTGATTAAAGACCATATCATTAGTTAACTGATTTAACTCAAAGTCAAACTATAAGAGGTGGCTGTGATGCTACCATCCTAGGTGGTAATGCGGCATACCTGCCTCACTTAAAATCAGAAGCAATTTCAAACCAATCTCAATTCCTATATCATATTTCCAATGGAAATGTTAGTTTCCAAGGATTTAATTAGCAATGTAAAATTGTAGTCTTATGCCTCTAATTGGCGGGATCTGTCTATCATGATAGAATGAAAATGGTACCACTCATGGTTAGGCCATTAAGGTTATCATGGTGGCTATGGGAGGTGTGACATCAGTGAAACACCTTGTTATCTAGGTGACTAGGTGACAAGTAGCTGTAAGCCATACTTGCATATACTATATTATAAATATTACTACCTCCGTCCCACTAAGATTTCCTTTTTGGTCCGTCCCAGTAAGATTTTCTCATCCAAAGTTGGTAAAATTTGTATGGCTCTAAATCATTCTTACTTTATTCTTTATCAATTCAATAGCAACCACATAAACCCACTTTTCTTAATAACCGCACTACCTCCTCCATGCCCCAATGTTAGTGGGACGGAGGTAGTAATATGAAGTACATGAATTATGAATACATTAGAGCGATATTTATTACCAAACTTAAGAGAAAAGCATTGATGGAACTCAAGTGATGTAATTCGTGTGATTCCTATCTAAAGAAAGGATAAGAAGGTTAATAAAGTAAAAAGTTTGCTGCAGATATAAATAAAGGAAAAGTGAAGATGAAGGTAGAAACTGAAGAACTAAAGGCAATATTGGTTGGCAGCAATTGATCTTTACTCTTTTCCTCTTCACTCCATTTTTTTTTCAAGTCTGATGCAACTTTTTAAATTAGGGGAATATGGTTGGGTTATCAGGTCAGGTTTGATTTGACAAAAAAAAACTATTCTGGATGCCACCATAAATGCCTAGTCAACGTCATTTTAGTGCTTGGCATTCTTTAGCCGAAGCAATCAACCATGGCAAGCATTTTCCATTTTCAGGACGCGTAAGTGTCACCTAGATGACGTCTCAACAACCATGCCCATGGTGAATGATTAGAGGTATAGTTGTGCTCAGACTGCTCACCCATGGGAGTTAGGGACAAATCTACCAATTCTTTCCTTGGATTAATATGACAATTATGTCTACACAGTTCACTAAAAGTATTCATTCCCTTCCTACAAGTCTTTTCGTTGGGGTAATTACCATAAGATGTATTTGAGTATCCCTTTTAGCCATGTCATTTAAAGAACTCGTTCAACTAGGAAATCAGAGGTATGGGCGTTGTTTTGCTAAGCACATCAGGAAGAAAGGTACTTTTGTATTGCTGTGTGCACCCCATATTTCATGCATAGCACGTCTATTAAACAGGTATGCTACATTGCAAAAAATTAGCTAGCATAGGCTGGAGACTACCAGGAGCTAAAACTTGGCTGGCCTATCAAAGGCAGATTTAATGTCACTGAGCTTCTCATATGACTAAATAAATATTCTTAGCATGTAAGGTCATTGCTAAAAGCTTCCCAAGAACGCTAAGCTGGTTGGTGTAAGTGAGTAACCGTTTAACCTATATAAAATTATCATCGCTAGTGTTATGTCACCACTTCTTCTTGCAGTTATCGGTCTTCGTTTTAAATTCCTCCCATGCATACATAGTTACCTTTTTGATGTACTAAGTCACAATTTTTCAACATAATAGGCTGATACTTTGGTCAAGGAAGAGGCTCAATTTCTGCGTAAGGCAATGGGACATGAGAGTGAATCTCTTGATGAATTTGTTGAAGCACACAAAACATGCTCAAGTGATATCATGTATTTCCCCACAAGGAATGCATATGGTCTCTCCAGCGTTGCTGGAAACATGGAGAAACTTAGTGCTCTACAATCTGAATTTGAGAGTGTCAAGAAGAGAATGGATGATGACACTAAGAAGGCACAAAAACTTGAGCAAAAGGTTAAAGTTCTAACAAATGGATACCAGGTGAGTTACACCTTTTCGCATTTAGTGTTTATGTATATAAACAAAACCTTTCACTTTGACTCTCAGTACAATTCAGTCATGAAATTTTGAAAGCTGACCAAAAGTAGAGGTGACAATAGTACTTGTGACTTTGTGAGGACCTAAAGTGGAACATTTTCTATCTCCATATTTCCAAAACCTATTTATTTCCAAATTATTCAGATTAATATTTAATCATTGCTTGTTATGACTTGTTCTATTCACTTTGACGTTAAAATTCCCATTACTAAAGTTACTACAATTTTCATGTGAACAGTTCCGATCTGCAAAAATAGGGTTGCAAATAGATGCAATGTTCAAGCAAATGGACACCGCGGGGACCGAACTTGAATCTTTCAAAGTGTTGCAAAAGCAAGAGCAGATTGCAGCATCAAACAGAATCAATAACATCTGGGAAGAAGTCCAGAATCAGAAAGAGCTGGAGCGTACCCTACAGAAACGGTATGGAGGCCTCTTAGCAGAGAAAGAAAGAATTGAGCGTCTCATGGAGGAACACAAAAAGCTAGAAGAAGCCCAGGCTGAAAAACATGCTCTTCTTGAAATGGCCAATGCACAGGCTGATGATAAAATCGTTGGTCCAGAGCCAATGGCCTTAGTTGAGGAAGAAAACTCAAATTGTGAAGAAACTCGAAGCGTGAAGAGGGGTGATGGTGATGGTGATGGTGATGGTGATGGTGATGCTCAGGAACAACTGAAAGGAAGCCCTAAAGCTGGAATGGATATGGACATGACATCACCAGGAGGAGATGAAAACCCAACCAGTGGCAATGATCACGGAGGAACTTCTTCATCTGATGATTTTCAGTCCGTTAAACCTTCTGATGTGGAGTCCTCAATGCATGTCGAGAATGTATCCCACAGCTTCGAAGATGGCGGTGTTGACATATCTGGCAAAACGCAGTCTCCAAGTGAAGATGATAACCCAACTAGTGGAAATAATCAATGTGAAGCTTCTGCAGCTGATGTTTCTCAGAACATTACACCTGCTGCTGATGTGGACTCTGTGGAGAATATAAAAAATGCACCCAGCAGCTCGATAGATGGCATTGTCGATGATAATAAGAATCCAACTAATGGTAGTGATCTTGGTGAAGCTTCTTCAACTGGTGTTTCTTCAATCGTTGAGGCCCAGGGCTCATGAGCTTGCAGATATATATATTTCCTGATGAACACTTGTGCTTGTTGGGAAACATATATGAGATGCGTTGATGGGTGTTGGTGACTTGGGGTTCCTTTATCCTAAAAGGCTAAAAGTGTACTGCAATTATGTATGTTTGGCTCAAAGCACTGAATTCTTTAGCTGTTGTTATACATGTTGAGATTTTTGGCGGAGGCAGACTATTTTTTGGACTATATAAGCATTGGATATCATGCGAGAGAACCTTACCCTTCTTTTCCCCGACCTTTTGTAGGCACAAAACATTCACTATCTACAGAATGAGACAAAGTTTCATGTCTGTCAGCTTGAAACTTGACGGTACGGTTGCCAGGTTGGTGTGCAATAAACGCACAAATTCGTATGTTTAATACACGTGTGCTGAGAATCTGAGATGAATTGAATTATTGAATAGATTGAATGGTTGAATCATTCAACAAGCTTAATCCTCTAAGTGCGTTTTATATGTACTAGTAAACTCACTCGTGCGATGCACGGTCGGAAAATTTTTCTTTCAAATTTTTTTGTGCTCATTAATTCAAATACACTATCAATTAATGACACCATCTATCTCCATGGAATACTAATATAGATCAAAGCAATGAATGAAATACACTTATAATATTATGGTTAAAAAGAGCACTAATCACTACTTAAAAGATAAAAAACATCCAACAAATACTTAGAAATCATAACATTGTAAATATGAATTTCATGTAAACCTAAACATTGTTGAACACTTCTATGTATACAACTAGGGTTGGACTCGGGTCCGGGCCCGGGCGGGCCGGCGGGTCAGAAATGGTGGACCCGGGACCGGCCCGGGTAACCACCGGGTCCGGGCCGGGCCGGACCAGGCCTATTATATTTTTTTTTTGGTTTTCCTCTTCCTAATTAACCCCCCTCCCACCCCCAACCCCCCAAACCACCCCAAATGGCCCAAAATACCCAGCCCAACCCGAAAAGTTAAAAAAATTGAAAAAACAAAAAATTTTTTTTTTTGGCCTGAACCGGGCCTGGGCCCGGCCGGGTCGGGCCTTGTTTTGGGTGACCCGAGCCCGGACCGGTCACTGACCGGGCCACCGGGTCGGGCCAGGCCGGAACAGTGCCGGTCCCGGGCCGGTTCCGGGTCGGGCCACCCGCCCCGAGTCCATCAATATATACAACATTCCGGATCAGAATCGCCGCTCGAACGGAAGCGTTTCAGTGTCTTCCCGGTCGACTTTTTTGATGAAATTTTTATGTCACGTTCTTCATCAAGTCTAGTTTACCCTGATTTATATATATATGGTACATATCAAATAAAAAACATCCCTCCCGTGAAAGCTGCAAACCGTTTGGGATATTTTAATTATTTTCTCCTATAAAAATCAGGGTGTTTATCTCACCTTCCTTCAAAGTTTGAGGTATTTTAATTATTTTCTCCTAATCAATGCTAATAAACTGTTTGATAAAATGACTCAATCAAAATGAGTATACTGTGTTCTAGATTTGAAATGGGATGTAAGATTGCATTGACACTTTTTTTGGCAAAAGATTACATTGGCACTTAAAAACTAAAAGATTTTTTGGCTACCGGAAGTGTTGTTTAATTTAAAAAAAAACTCTCAGAATCTAAAATGATGTTAATTTTTGACGAATACTCCTCCCATTGGGTACGTGTGGGTCTAGCGGGTGTGGCCAGGGGATGGGGCGGGGGTGGAGGAGATTTTTTAGACACGTGGCAAGGGATGGGGGAGTGAACATCCGTCCCAACCCCACCCCATTGTCCCCCCTAGTTGTCCATTCTCTTTAGATAACAATTTGTACATTGATATCGAAATTTGATCTCTAATTAGTTTATTGTGTTGGGAATATTTTATGGTGTCGAATCTAGTTAAATATCTTTGTATTTGTGTAGTTATTAATTAAATGTGTAATATGTGTCACAAATGTAATTCAGTCCATTAGCTTCTTTGTAAGTCATAAGTTAGCCATCCTCTCCTATAAAAGGAAGCTAACTTATGCAAAAGTAGGGGTGGATTCGGTTCGGGCCACCCGGCCCGTGACCCGGCCCGGCCCGGTACCGTGCGGGCCCGGGACCGGCCCAGTCGGGCGGTCCGGGACCGGGTGTGGACCTGAACCGGTGGGAATGGGCGGGGCGGGCACGGTGCTGGATAAATGTGACCCGGCCCGGGTCCGGTCTGATTTTTTTTTTAAATTGGGCTACTAGCCGTTGGGGGTGGGCTGGGGACAACCCAAACGGCTATATAGCCGTTGGGTGGGGTGCAGGGGGGTCCAGGGGGGTGGGGTGGGGTGGGGGGTAAAAAAACCTATAAATACTCCTAATCTTAAACATTTTTCATCTCTTCTCCAATTCTTCCTAAATCCTATTCTTAACTCTCTACTCTCTAATTCTCTTATTCTCCATTCTCCAATATATTATATGTATTATTTATAGTTTATATTAATTATCTACTTATATAAACTATAAATAGATATAAATAGTATTATATTACTTATATTTGTTATCTAATTATATATTACTTATATATTTGTTATATCTATTAATATAGTTGGAATTATATCTAATTAATTTGAAGTCATTCTATTACTCCCATCCGAAAGAACGAAAGTCCGAAAGAGGTACGAAATTATTCTATTATTTACACTTGTTTAATTACTAGTTAATTTGCTACATTTGACTCTTGTTTAATAGTTAGATAAATAGTTAATTACTTTTTTACAATTTTCTATTAATTGCTACATTTGACTCTAGTTTAAAAAAATATGTTGTACACAAAAGTAGTTAATTCACTACTTAATTTGCTATAACTCGAATTAATTGTTAGATAAATACTTAATTACTTTTTTACAATTTTTTATTAATTGCTACATTTGACTCTAGTTTAAAAAATATGTTGTACACAAAACTAGTTAATTCACTAGTTAATTTGCTATAACTCGAATTAATAGTTAGATAAATAGTTAATTACTTTTTTACAATTTTTTATTAATTGCTACATTTGACTCTAGTTTAAAAAATATGTTGTACACAAAAGTAGTTAATTCACTACTTAATTTGCTATAACTCGAATTAATAGTTAGATAAATAGTTAATTACTTTTTTACAATTTTTTATTAATTGCTACATTTGACTCTAGTTTAAAAAATATGTTGTACACAAAAGTAGTTAATTCAGTACTTAATTTGCTATAACTCGAATTAATAGTTAGATAAATAGTTAATTACTTTTTTACAATTTTTTATTAATTGCTACATTTGACTCTAGTTTAAAAAATATGTTGTACACAAAACTAGTTAATTTGCTATAACTCGAATTAATAGTTAGATAAATAGTTAATTACTTTTTTACAATTTTTTATTAATTGCTACATTTGACTCTAGTTTAAAAAATATGTTGCACACAAAAGTAGTTAATTCACTACCTAATTTGCTATAACTCGAATTAATAGTTAGATAAATAGTTAATTACTTTTTTACAATTTTTTATTAATTGCTACATTTGACTCTAGTTTAAAAAATATGTTGTACACAAAACTAGTTAATTCACTAGTTAATTTGCTATAACTCGAATTAATAGTTAGATAAATAGTTAATTACTTTTTTACAATTTTTTATTAATGGCTACATTTGACTCTAGTTTAAAAAATATGTTGTACACAAAACTAGTTAATTCACTAGTTAATTTTCTATAACTCGATTTAATAGTTACATAAACAGTTAATTAGTTTTTTACAATTTTTTATTAATCGCTACATTTTTTAGATGAATCGTCCTAGATATTCGGTTGATATGGGTAACCTCGAGCGCAACCGAACGAAAGAGCTTGCGAGGAAGAGACCCCGCAAAGGTAAATCACATATCGGCTCTTCATCTCAAAGTCGAGATGATTTTGATACGGGTTACGCAAGGAGGGATGAGGATGCGATGACCGACGAACAACTAGAACAAGAATTGCACCGACATAATTCCCGCTTTTTTCAAGACCAACCGAGGACCATTGACGAAGAAGAGCTCGAGGACGAGGACGACGATGTGGAGGAAGCAATTCCGGAGAGCCACGACGACGACGAGGAGGAGGGTGGCGGCAGCCATGACGCCGACCAACCAGCCTCATCCCAAACAGGTACAAAAAAAGTAAATCTGAATTAATGGCTAATAATTTTTCTAAGTGGAAGGACCCGAACACCGGGAATTGGACCGCAACTTGCAATTGGTGCAAGAAAAACTATAGCTTGGGGATTTCCGGCGGATACGGATCCGCCACAAGACACTTTAAGTCCAAACACCCGGTGGAGTATGCAAAATTAGGCGGCGGAACGGGGAAGCAAACGCAAATATCGAGGTTTGCAAATAACCAACAAGCTTTTGGTAATTTCTCATACAATGATGCACAAAATTTGACAGGTATGGCTAACTTACTTGTTGAAGAAAATTTGCCTTATTTGTTTTCTGAAAGTCTTGCTTTTCGTGATTATGCCCAAACTTGTTTAAATCCGCAATATAGAGGTTATAGTCGCAAAACGGTTAAGAAAGAAATTTCAAGGCTTTTGGTGCGGAAAAGGTAAGGTTACAAAATTATTTTGCAAACTTTGATGGACGTGTTACTGTATGTTCTGACATATGGGAGGATACTTATCATAATTTACATTATTTGGGTCTGACTGTACATTATATTGATAATGATTGACATATGCATAAACGTGTTCTTGCTTACCGTGAATTTAATGATCGTCACACCGCTGAACATATTTATATTTTGATTGAACGTATTTTAATTGAGTATAATTTAATTGATAAGGTGTTTGCTATTGGTTTTGATAATGCTACTAATAATACTGCTGCTATTCCTAGATTGCGTGAAATGTGTGGTTCTACTTCTTTGATGGGTAGATTTTTTCATCAACGATGTGCATGTCATATTCTAAATTTATGTGTGCAAGATGGTCTAAAAGCATTGGGAGCATCGTTGGAGGTAGTCAAGGGGGGGGGGATTAGACGTATTTGGGGTAATGGACAACTTAGGAAAAAATGGCATGATTATTTGATAGAAAGAGGTGAGAGATATGTAGCTTTTCCTAAAGATTTGTCTATTCGTTGGAATAGTACCTATAAGTTAATTGAAGTTCTTCTTAGATATAAACAACATTTTCCTGCTTTTATGAAACAATATGATAACTATATTATAAACTCGGCTGAGATCGACACCTGTGAAAAAATTTGTAATGCTTTGATATATTTTAATAATGCAACTGAAACTTTTAGTCATGTTTATAAACCTACCTCAAACCTATTTAATCGTGAAGCTGTTAATCTCGCCGGTGCTTTTTCAAATTTTGAGAATGCTGATTATGTGAGTTATTTTGCTAGTTTTATGAAGGAAAAGTTTTTAAAATATTATTCACATATTCCGCATATTTATGGTATTGCATTTGTTCTCGATCCTCGTTTTAGACTTGGTTCTTTAGAAGAATGTTTGAATTATTATTATGCTGCTTTTTTTGGTCCATTGCCAATGTATGAAGACAACCCAATTGATCCGAA